TGTTCATAATTCCTTTGCCCTGCGAAACCAACCTTCTCATCGCGATACGATGACGGTTCACTTCCCACAGGCGCGGAGGTTGCTGCCGCTGCTGTGTACTGAGGAGCAATGTGCCCATCGCCAGATATATTCCTCGGAATAGCAGTGAGTGGAACTTCAGTAAAACCATTTGGATCATGGGCTGGTGGTCCGCCATTTGGCACGGGATCCAGGATATGACCCTGGCCCCCTTCACCGCGGTGTTTCTCGCGACTCCAGAAAAGCATCATAGCGCGAATGATACCAATCAAAGCGATAAACACCCAGAGCAGGAGAATGATGGTGGCGATGATGGCTTCGATGCGCACGGCTGCTTCGAGTTTTTTGATCACGCTGTTGACGACCTCGGTGATTTTATTGGCTGTCTCGTCGCCTGAATCGGCGAGGAAACTGTCAGAGGGGTTGGGACTGTCGTTGATGCTAGAGGAGGCGCCGGCGGAGAATGTGTCGTTCGGGAGGGTGGGGAGAGAGATGTGTGCGTGCTCAGCTACCCAGTTGAGACCCTTTTGAAGTGCCTCTGCTTTGAGGCCGATGAGGCACTCGTACAACTCGTAGACGGGCTCTTGCAGCAGGGTCCCTTTGAAGGTCTCGTTTAGAACACTGGAGGTGTTGTAGATGAAGAAGTTTAGAGTTGCGTTTATGGCCTGGGTGCTGCTGTTGACCCAGCCGAAGACATTGTGGTTTAGGTCGGTGTCGAGATTGATGATGGCCTTGTTGGCGTCGGTGGCCCAATCTGTCGAGGCACTTTCCAGTGCATCGACGACCTTGTCTGCGAATTCTCCCACCTCGGCACTCAGTGCGGGAACAGCTTGTTTCACCGAATGCAGGAGCAGATATTGGCACAGACAAGAGAACAGTGCTGCCAGTGCAAGAGCCAGCACGAAAAGAGCAGGGAGGGATGTTGCATAGGCAATGGCCCATCGCACGAGGATCTGCCGGCGGCTGTTGCTGAAGTGACTTGCTGCCTTGATACCTGCAGCGGCAGTGTATGGACGTGAGACAATATAGACAACGTCCATTGGATCATGGGCTTCCTTGCGAACCAACTGGGAGCGCTCTTTCATTGAGCGCCATCGGCGGATTTCTTGCCACGCGATTGGAATGCATACCAATATGGCAGCAACGATAAGGACAGCGATGAAAATTTTGCGTGCTGTTAGTGCCAGCTCGGTGACCCCGTCGAAGAAATCATTGATTCCTTTGTTGTCGTTGCAGAAGGTCAACTGTTTCTTGGCAGGAATCGGGAGAGCGGACCGATCGAAGCTGTAAGTGCCCAAAGTTTCATTGACCAAGTCCTTGACTTCTTTAAAGGGCGTTTGGAAGAGGGTCTTGGTGTAATTCTGGATCTCTTTGAAGTTGGGAAGGACGATGTTGTCCAGTTTTTCGACCGTGCGGTTGACTGACGACGGGAGAGACAGATTCTCCAGCGTACTGATTGTACTGTTGAGGTTGATTGGGCTAGGATCATCCGAGAACACGCTAGCCACTTTGTTGATTGTCTCGAGAAATGAGTTCAGTTCGTCTTTGTATTTATCAACGGTACTCTCAATGTCGCCGCTGATTGTCTTCAGGGTTTTGTTGATCCACTCAGTAGCTTCCTTGACCAATTCGATCCCGGCTCCTACTGTCCCGCGGACGGCCATTGTAATGAGACAGGCGTAGGTGGAGTACATCATATTTATGACAAACCAGAGGATCTCCCCAACACCCGTGATAGTCATCAACAACACAGACTTCAGGGCAGAAACGGCCTCATCAACCGAGGAAGCCACAAGCTCGTTAGTACCCTTGGATAGGTAGTAGGGCATTGAAGCCATGGCACTACCCATGGACTCCACCGACGTGCATGCAGAGAGAGCCTCACGCTTGGCGGATGCCATATTGGATTGCAAATCGCCAACTGCGATCAATACGCGGAAGAGAACAAGCAGTAAAAGTATTGTCCATCGATTGATCCATACTTGTGAAAGTCGAGCTCGCAGACCGAGATAGGGTGTGAGGCCATCTGGATGTAAAGGAATTATCCGCCCCGTGCTTGAATCGTGTGCTCCATAAGGTGGGAGCAGTGGAAAGATCGATCGCCCGGATCGAGTGAATACCATTTTAGTGGTTCTTTTTTTTCGAAAGTGATAGTTGTCAAATGCTTCAGGTGTGATCTCGTCCAGCGAAGACCAGGAATGCTTGGAGGCGTAAATAGATCAAGGAAAAATATGCAAAGCCTGCATCAACACAGAGGGTTCTTAAGATAAGAAAAAGTGAGCAAAGAAAAAAACCTAGTCTATTGGAGGGACATGGTGTATATGATTTCTTATAATTAATGAGGAGGTCAATAGATGAATAGATCGGGTGGCGGACTAAGAACAATAGAATCAAAACAAAACAAGGGACAATGAAGCGTCAAATATAGCAGCTGGCAAACGTCACCTGGAAATTGTCAGACATCCTGGGCGGCAGCAGTCATTACAATAGCCCAATATTGCTCACAAAGAAGCAGTTTAATGGACCTTGGCAACCCCGTATAGTCGAGACAGCGCCAATTAGAGTGAACCGTGCCCATTTCGAAACAAGGAAGACATAAAAATAAAGACTGAAGACAAGGGGCCTGTGCAATGGTTTGTTTCATAAGGCATCAACGCGTGTTACTGGCTACTGTCAGTGTCAAAAGCGCCAGAGTGGACAAACTGCCAAATATAGCCTCCATGGGCGCTTAGCCGCCCAGGACTGAGAGCCAATAGCTGGACAGCGATGGCTAGTCGATCTAACATCATGCTTGTTCCCGTGTCACGTGGGTAGACGATGTGTATGTTGTTTGATATTCCCTTAGGAGTTAGTCTTTATTTGGGCTGTTGCCGCTTAACTCGAATGTGCGAGTCTGTGAATCGAATCACAGACTCGCACATTCGAGTGCAGAGAAAAATCTCCCGGCGTACAATTTTTGGTAATAGAAAGATAAGTAATCATATTGTAATATATTCCATCATGATTGTAGGTTAGTTAGTAAGTCCACCGAGGAGTTGGGGTGTGTGAACAAAGTACTAGAGGCTTATTCGAGTTGTGACCGCCGGCGTGGAAGGAGATATGTCACGTGATACTCACTAAGTCCGCGCAAAACGTGACCGCACGTGACCGAGTTGCACCCTAACAACTTGCAACAACATGTCTTGAATTGCATGGCAAGAAGACTTGCGGATTCGCAATTAACTTCATGTGCTGTGTTTATTGTGATAGTTTGAGGATATATCACTATTCTACTGGCATTTCTATGGCATATTTTCCAATATCTTCTTCAGGTGCATGCTTCAACGTGTGTTTTCCAAATCTTCTACGTAAAGAAGATTGATGCAAAGCAAAAAAGGCGTTGAACATGAGATTAAATTCCTAAATCTATAGCTAAGGGATATTAAAGCCAGCCCAAGAGAAGGCATGTTGTGGTTGTCACCCCTGTTCGTGTCTGAACCTTCATGCCAATTCTTTCGCTTCGTTTTTGATGTAGTGATGTAGTTGGCTGTTGAACGGAGGCTGATGCCATGGGATATGACTGAACAAAGGCCCATTTTTGATAGATTAAATTCCGCGGAAGAGACATGATGTCGGCATCATGGCAATTCTGGGTATCTGCGTAGGGGTGACAAGCAAGTCGTATCGTTTTTTATTTTCGAATTGCATCGTGAGACTGTTTGCTGAATACGGCGACCTCGTATCACGTATTGATCCTCTGGTCTCAGCGGAATCTTCCGGCCCAGAGCAGCTTCAATTGAGACTCTTCGCCGAGAAATCGTCGGGGCGGCAACCGCAGCTTGATAAATAAGCACGAACCCACTGTAGGATGGATGACTGGTTGGTAGATGTCATCCAATTTAACGCATAGCTCGATGCTTCGCTCGAATCATTTGATCAGCCTTAACAAAACGATTATTGAGAAGAGATACATGTTCGTATCTTCATCTCCGTCACCCATTTGTCTGGTCAGTCGTAACTTCCGATCGAAGACTCTGTGACAGTAGCACGTGCACAGTTTGTTTGTCTCCTCCATTGTTGTCGAATCTCGAAGTTTGTCCTTTATTCTTCTCTTTTTCTCTCTCCACTGACACCTCTCAGGCTCTTTTCATCCAACTATCTTTCCCCCGCATACACAATAGCTTTGGTTTGTGCATCACATCTTTCATCTCTTCGAGTAACCAAAAATATTGTATCAAAAAGCTTCTTTCACCTCATGGTTCACACCACAGGCGTGTGAGCCAGGCTTTGAAACTCCACACAGTAAGTTGTCGCATATCCTCACGCGTTGGGTCATCAACGATGCCCATGGACCTTACCAAGATTGACTCTCCGGACACTGAAAGGGTGTAAGCCTTGACATGCATCAGCAAAGTGAGTTGCCGTGAAGCTATATCTCATGGCTTTATCATCTGGTGCATGGTTGAGACAAGACACACATGCATGCACCCACTCACGTGAGGCCAAAGCTCACAGCCTTCAGTATCTTGATGATTGATCTTGGCAAGTCATTTCTTGCAAATTCAAATTACTCATCTTGCATTCTACTGATGTATCCTGCAGCGAGACATCTTTGTTGAAAATCTCGAGGACAACTTTGGGCCGAAGGGAGCCTTGTGCCGACCGAGGAGTACTTGGTAAGCTCTTCATACATCCCATTCATGAGCCTCAACTGACCCATCAGAAAATCTAATGAGCAGTAAGAAACTGCTAATCACGTCTGTCAAGACATATGTAGGCTTTTGCCTATAATCAAGAGATTCTTCTTGTGAATCACGGTATCGGATATCGATGGATCCCAGCTAATTCATAGTCAGTTTGATTCCAATACACAACAGAGAACATCAAATACCTCATTCTTGTTTCCACTCGGTATGTCTTTCAATCCAAAGGAAATTAAACCTCGATGGAGAGCCATTGACTGACAAGATCAAGTCAACAGTTCTCTATCATCATCATACGAAATGGCTCCCATGTTCAGCAAGTTTGTTGACGGCGAGATTTCTCCCAAGTCTCCCCGACCTGCGCCTGGAGGGGAGCACCAGAATCCATGCGAAGAGCACGATGCAATCGAAACTCAGCAATGCCTCAAAATGACTCAGCTCACATCCACAAATCAACACCCGACACTTAAACTCCGAGTGCCAGAGCTGCTCAACCCTCAGTTAGTTCAAGCTGAGATGGAGCTTTTCGATGTAAACACATTCGAAAATGAACTCATCGGAATGATGGCTCGGCTCAAGTCAAAGGATTGGACCAATGAACGGGCGGGGCTCACTCTGGGCAATGGACAACTGAGGCTGGAGATCCAGGACTGGCGGACCCCTTCCCCGACATTCATTGTGAAGAATAACCCCACAAGTAGCCCCAAGTGCGATCTTGAGGCAATCATGACAGAGTCCGATATCATACGTATTGACTTCAAGGTCCCTATCGATTACCCAGATGGCATGAAGGGGTTCATGAGATCGATTGAAGCACTCTTCATATCCCCAAAGGATATTTCCATGAGCAACATCGAGACTGGTTCCACGCCGGCTTATCGAGAGTCGAAGAACCCGAAGAGAGACAGCTATTACATCAAATGGACAACCCCATGGGAAACATCCGGCTGCCGAGTAAGCTGGATGAAGGCAGAAGAAGATTCACAGATCATAAAGTTCAGGTTTGTTAGTGGGAGGGATGCGAGACGTGGGGAGCAGTTGATGGTTACTGTTGATGAGAATGACGAGTTTTATCAAAAGATCTCTAACAAAGACCCTGTCAGTATACATACTTGACCAATATTGGGATTTAATTAACACATCACAGAACACTTACGGCAAATGGATGGCACTTCCGGTCCGCGTTTGGCTGCGCATTCAATGGCTGATGGCAAAGACTGGCGACATAGACAACCAATTGTTTGGGAAGTTGCCTGTCGATGACAAGTACCCCCCTCTATCAAGAAAAAGAACAAAGGCAAGAAGCAATCAAAGAGATTGACAAAGAGAGCCCGGGAATCTTCCAACATTGAAGAAGGAAGCTCAGGGGACGAAAAGTCAAATGCCTCGGTTGTGCCAAGTCCTGAGCCGCCAGTGTTGGGGCAAGAACATACGATGAAGACAGTGGGAAGTCAGGAGTTGGCCAAGGAAGAGTCGACCCAGCAAGAGTTGACCAAGAGGGTTTCTACACTCAGAATTGATACCCAGCAGAGCAACAAAAAGTCAAAGGGCAAGGGTAAGAACAAGGGAAAGTGCACACCTAGTTCGTCTGGCTCGTCTGGCCCCAACACAGGAAAGAAGGCAGATCAGTTCACAGAACGTGGTGACCGTTTACTTCCGGGAGTGCAGGACATCGCTCGACAGGATGTCCCGACTGAGCAGCAACTTGCGGCAGTGGCTGGCCAACAAACAGTCAATGCCTCCCGGCTGCCTACCCCTATTGACTTGACTACCCCATTGTCTTCATCATTCGAGACAGCCCGAACCCACCTCTCCCCCCAGACTCCCCTCCCCTCATCCTCACTTTCATGTTTCTTCACACCTACGAGCATCACATGGAAGAAAACCGAGGATGATGGGGATGGGGAAGTGAATGCGGAAAAAAATGAGCCAGCAGAGATTTCAGATCAGCTGTGCCTTACTCTGTGGGGGGATGAGGTTGGGCTTCGGGGCACTGTCTCGAAGAACGGGGATGAGGTGTGGTTCTCTGGTAAGTTGCTTACTCTTTATATCATTGTGGACGCAGCCGCTAACTATTATTTAGACCCTGAAGAGTACCTTGACGGCCACAAAGCGCAGGAACGGGTCTTGCGTCGAAGTGAGTCTTTTGATGTGGCCAGTCTAGGTAAGAAATTATATTCTCCATATGTTCTGTATTGAATACATGCTAACCAAAGACCACAGGGCGATTCAAGGGCCTGGAAATCGCATCCTCGTCCCCAACGGCCGACCCTCCATTGTCCTCTCGTGCCTCTTCTAACCCATCTACCACAGACTCGGCTGGGGTTGGGTCAGATGAACCCAGCTCAGATGGCACCGTCCAGCCAGACGACCAAACTCTAGCCGAGTCTAGCCGATGTGGGAAGAAGGATGCATACAAGAGGAGGAAGCAGGAAAGGCGGAGGCGCACGAACTTGTTGAAACGTCAGCAAGAGCGCAATGCGGACCTCGAGCCCTCCATTTCCAGTGCTTCCTCCCAGGGCGATGGAGTGGAAGGTCGTTCTCCGTCTCCACCCGAGTCGCCGGAGGATGAAGAACCAACTCCCACAGCCAAGCAGTTCGGCAACATCGGGACTCCATCCCCTGAATCGCAGTGGGACTTCGGCAGGATCGCCGTGCTTTGCGAGAAGCAAGGCTGCCAAGTCCTCTGTGCTTTCGGGGATGGAGTCTCCGTTGTTTGCCCTAAGTGCGGACCGTTTTCCGAGGTCCGCTACTGCGGCAATGGCCACCTGTGGGAGGATGCCAAGATGCACTGGCTGGTCTGCGGGACCCGACCAGTCTACCAGCACCAGCTCTTGGCCGGTTCGATTCCATACGACGTTCTCGTGGGTCCACCAATGCTTCCCAGCCTTCACCAGTGGGATACCCCTGAGCGCCATCGTCAGGCGGTGTGGTTCAGTTCCGCCCGCGACCGAGGTGACTACTTCGTGTTCGCGGAGTGGGACGACCTGGTGAAGGCTGCGGACGCTCCAGCCAGTCACGTAGGGCTGCGATGTTCACCTCGAATCGCACACATTGTGCAATTCGAGGACGCCGAAGAGAAGGACCGGTTCCGCCGGTGCCTTGCAATTTGTCTCTTCTGTAAGTTTCATATCACTTTCAGCTTCTTTACACTTTCACTTTCAGTTCCCTCGCACTCTCAGCTTCCTCGCACTCTGACATCATACAGCCCTCACCACTTCCTACTTTTCAGATCATATGCTAACTCTCCCTTTCTTCCAGCGGCGGTTGAACATCCAGCCCTCGTGGACTATCTTTACCGGCTTGTCCGGGACTGGATGCGGGCCCACAACATGTGGGCCAGTGACAAGGACATGGACAGCATGTTGCGTTACCAGATGGGACTCGAGATGGGTAACTCCCTCGATATGAGCCGTCTTGGTTTGCGGCATGCTTGTGAGACGGAGTGGGTCGGTGCCAACCGATGTCACTGCGAGGATTCGACCTGCGCGAGCGAGCGTCGCCCCACGTTGCTCGGTAACCAGTGTAGGGGGTTGGGCTTCCGGAGAGTGTGCGAATACCTCGAATCCAATTATTGGATTCTGAGGGCGCACCGAGCCACCCATCCTTCGGTGAGCGACGTGGTGGCTCGCACGTGTGGGGGAGGATTCTCGGAGGTCCTTTCAACGGACCGGCGGACTTTCTGCCGCGGCGAAGGTTGGGACGGGGCGGGAACGGGCCCCATGGAGCTGGAGATGCCGTGAAAACGGCTGGTCAGGGTAGGGAGCCGTCCCCTCCCTAGCCCTTTTCTTTGTACCGGGGTCCTGGACCTGGGGTGGCTGGTTTGGAGAGAGATATTATCAGTGTTCAGTCGGTGGATGCCCCCCAGGTCCAGGATGCCCATTTATGTATTATGATTTCGGTGGCGGCGGGTTGGAGGGGAGTTGATCGCCCCCTCCTTTGTTTCTATGTAGATAGAAACAAAGACCGTTGGGTGTTGGTGCCTTTGTCCTACTGTGCCTGGTTCATTATATCCAGGTGCTGTAAGTTACATAGGAGTAGCTGTGTGTACTGGTAGATTAATCGCGTAAGGGAATACGGATATATGGAGAGTGGGCTTCTGTGGCATATATTTTGCATCTTTATATCCAATTTTCTATTGGAATCGTAACACTTCTATGCATATCTCGTCACTTCTCACATATCAAAGTCCTGCAGCTCTTTGTTTACTGGGTGATATACTTCTTCAGCCCTCTCAGGCGCTCCTTGGCAGTTTCGAGAACGTCATCGTTCTTGCACACCGCAAAGCGGAGATAATCCTCAGCAATGTGGGTGTTGGCATCGGTGTAGAATTCAGTGGGAGGAATAGCAGCCACGCCAACCTCCTGGATGAGGAACCAGCAAAGCTTGAAATCACGAGGACGGCTGGCAACATGGGGAGGGAATGGATAGTCAGCCGGGAGCTTTACAGAGGCCATGTTGACAAGCACAAAATATCCACCCTCAGGATCAGAGTACTATAGAGATTGATGTCAGCAAAATCAATCTATGGCAGAGTGGAGATAATAAGGGGCAGAGAAATCACATACCGGGATACCAAGCTCATCAAAGACCTCGCAGAACCGCTCAATTTTACCCTTCATGTCTGTTCGGCTCTCGTCCCAGAAGCCCTCCTTTTCTGCCTGCTCGAAAGCAACGGCAGCAGCTTCCTGGAGAGGAGACACACTGCTGTAACAGATACGGGTGTGTGCGCCAGCCACGTACTTGATCAGGTGTTCAGGGCCGATGAGGTACCCAACACGCCAACCAGTAGCGTAGAAGGCCTTGCCAGCAGAGCCCACGGTCAAAGTGCGCTCGTACAACTCTGGGGACAGGGTGGCGATTCTAGTATAGGGAACGTAGAAGAGGCGGTCGTAGACTTCATCAGACAAGATGATAAGGTTGTATTTCACACAGAGTTCGCCAATGCGCTCCAGCTCCTCGCGCGAGAAGACCTTGCCGACGGGATTGTGCCTATGAACACAGTTAGTTGAGACTTTAGTCGTCTCTGTAAATCAAGGCTGCTTACGGTGAGTTCAGGACCTGATACAATTAGCTTGAATATTCAGAGAACTTTGGTATCACATGCTTACAATCATCTTTGTCTTGGGGTTCATGGCACTCTCGAGCTCCTCAAAGTTAATAGTCCACTCTGATGCAGGAGAGGTCCTGGTAGCACCATCCTTTGGCGGGTGGAGGGGAACATAGCGGATAGTACCGCCAGGCATCTCAATGTTGCTAATATATCTATTCCGAGTGAATTAGTATGCGCTCAATCCTCTCGCAATCTTTGGGCTCCTTACTGGTCAAAGAAGGGCTCAAAGATAATGACCTCATCACCGTCCTCGATGAAGCCCATGAAGGCACTGAGCATGCCTTTTTGTCACTTATCAGCGCCAAACGTCCATTTCTAGGTAAATTATACCGATCTCTCACCTTCATTTGCGCCAGTTGTGATCGAGACTTCAGTTTCGGGGTTCAGCTTCTTGCCAAAGAAGGGCGAGTAAGCATCCGCGATAGCCTGTCTGAGGCGGGGACGGCCCTATATTGTATGAGTATTTGTGTGACCATGCGCAGATTCGTTGGCGTTCTCTACCTTTGTCGGAGAGTATTGGTTGCATTCCACTCGGTCTAGCGCATCCTTTGCAGCATCCAGAGCGAACTTGGGAGGGTTATAACCACTGCACAGAAATATCGCACGTCAGTTCCTATTCCTTGAAGTGATTGGGGTCGAAATGGTGACTCACAAGAACCCTTGGCCCATGTTCACAATCGGCTGAACTGGCGAAGCTGCCGCAGCTTCGTTGACGATTGACCTTGAATCGCCATTTAGTATGTCTTTCCCGTCTTGTTTCCCAAAACTTCATACCAAACATCCTGGCGCTGTCCTGCCACCCGCTTGGCGGGGCGAAATGGATCGGGTCGCGAAGCTGTTGCCGACATCGCTCTTGCGTAACTAGGGGGTAATATCGAAAAGGCCGAGAAGAGGTTTTTAGACCTGCAATTCTGTGATCGAGCAAGGATGTGCCAAGGGGAAATCATGGGCGAAAATTAGAAGAGGGGGATATATGGAGAAGTTGAATTTCCCCACGGATGGCGTGCTCCGCATTCGGCCTCTTCCGATTGTTTTTTTATTTTCGGAGGTTATACAGTAACTGTATGTATTTATATGTACCTATATATCATATCTACGGAGTATACATAACTAACTATATAAATTAGCTTGGTTGTTTGCTCATTTTCAGGCACCAAGGCCTGCTAGTTAATTACTAACTAATTACTAATTAACTAACGCGTTGAACGCGTCGCGGGTGGGAGGTTATCAGTTCTAGGTTTAGGGACCTCAAAGATTTTCTTGAGTAACCTACTGGATTACCATATCATTCTCCGGTCATCATGGTCTCCTGCCCAATATGCGAGCAATCTGTCCCCCAGTTGAAGATCAATGATCACATCGACTCAGGTTGTCAGAGCTTCATCGAAGAACCGTCCTCCTCTCCAGGGGAACTGTCATCCCTCCAAAAGGGACCAGTTCCAAGCATGTTCCAAACTCCGTCCGCGCGCAAAGCTTCTGCCCAGTCGAATCTCCTCAAGGAGTCCCCGTCGCGTCCCGCAACAACCCCACGCGCTCTCAACGGTAAACGATCATTTATCGAGGAAGCGGAATCCACGCGGGAGCGAGATGGGCCAAAGCAAGCAAAGAGTGACTCCAAAGAGCCACAAGCAAAGCGTCCAAAGATCAATGCCTTCCACAAAGCAGCACCTCTAGCGGAGCGCATGCGACCTAAAACCCTGGAAGAAGTTTGCGGCCAAGAACTTGTCGGACCGAACGGGATCCTACGCGGACTCATAGAACAGGACCGAGTACCGAGCATGATACTATGGGGCAGCGCAGGAACAGGAAAAACAACAATCGCTCGAGTCATTTCGTCGCTGGTGGGCAGCAGATTCGTGGAAATCAACAGTACGAGCAGCGGCGTGGCAGAGTGCAAGAAGATATTTGCCGAAGCTCGGAGTGAGCTGGGACTCACAGGGAGAAAAACCATTATCTTCTGTGACGAGATTCACAGATTCTCCAAGTCACAGCAGGATGTCTTCTTGGGTCCGGTGGAGAGCGGCCAGGTCACGCTCATCGGTGCCACAACGGAAAACCCGTCGTTCAAAGTCCAAAATGCGCTGCTCTCGCGTTGCCGAACATTCACGCTTGCAAAGCTCACCGACGAGGACATCACCTCGATCCTTCATCGTGCTCTCCGGGTTGAAGGCCCGAGTTATTCTCCCTCGGAACTGGTGGACGAGGAGCTGATTCAGTATCTCGCCAGATTCGCCGATGGAGATGCTCGCACTTCCCTGAATCTGTTGGAGCTAGCGATGGATCTGTCAAAAAGGTCTGGAATGGACAAGGAGGACCTGAAACGATCCCTGACCAAGACGCTTGTGTATGACCGTGCTGGAGATCAGCATTATGATACGATCTCCGCCTTTCACAAGTCCATCCGAGGGAGTGACCCAGATGCAGCGCTCTACTACCTTGCTCGCATGATTCAATCGGGTGAAGATCCCCTGTATATCTCTCGACGGCTGATCGTTGTCGCCTCCGAAGACATTGGCCTGGCGGACAACACCATGCTGTCACTTGCTATATCCACACATTCAGCAGTTGAGAAGATCGGACTCCCAGAAGCGCGAATCAATCTGGCACACGCTACTGTGGCGATGGCGCTATCGAAAAAGAGTACTCGCGCATACCGTGGCTTGAATAACGTCTTTTCCGCCTTGAACGAGCCTGGAATCGCAGGCCTGCCCATCCCTGTTCATTTAAGGAATGCGCCAACGAAGCTTATGAAGGAGCTGGGTTATGGTGCGGAGTACAAATACAATCCAAACTATGTCGACGGCAAGGTCCAACAGGATTACTTGCCAGAGGAACTCCTCGGTCGTACCTTCCTGGAGGACTTGGATCTGGGCACGCGAAGAGACATTTGAACAGTACCTCATATCAAAGAGATTGATTGTCATGATCACGTCTTTCCTATATCGACCCAAGATGGAACTATGATATGGCAGTGTTCCAAGGCTCATACTTCCGCCGTTGCACCCCCAAAAACTCCACTAGGTAAACCTTACCTACCACCATACCGGATTTGGAATCGGACTCATGGGCCTGGTCGCGCCTGCTTCACCTCCAGTGACCTCGGGACATTGTGGTATTGTGGCTATGATGTTGAATGGCTCAACTAAAGTTAAGCTAAGCGTTGGCTTGGTCCTCCTAGTCCGCTTTGAGTAATCTTGAAGGTTCTCAGGTATCGTCTAGCTCTACCTTTACTTCACATCAGTCACTCTCTACTTCATTCTCTACTTCTCTACCCTCGCGAAGGATCGACAACTTGTTCAAGTACCAACGTTGGTTTGCTACCAGGCTCTACCTGAAGCCCGTCCTTTCGCTCTTGCACTCCTTTTGCTCGACGATCTTCCAGAATCTCGATCACCATCATTCCTCTCGTTTATCATCGAAAACATGATAGCACAAGCTGCTACACGGCATCAGCCATCTCCGTTCTCTCCTCATCCAAACCGCGGGCGTAAATGCGTACCGTATACACCGCATACACCGGAGTCTGTCTATTCTGTGAGTTCGATCCATCTCTAATCTCGCCCTCCTACTCACCACTGACCTTCAAGTCTCCCATGTCTCCATTCGCATCAAACATGCCATACTTTTCTGATTTCAATATCGAACATCCAATGCCACAGACATGGCAACTGTCGTCGGCAACACCCATGGAATATGAGACCCAACTCATAGATCCAGACATACTTAAAATGGGCAACTTATTCGAGAAAGATACAATGGACAACCAACCCCAGGAGCTTGTTGTTCTTGGTGGCCCTGTTCGCATTGATTCGATGATGGAATTTACCACAATTGAAGATCAACCACAAAGCTTCATATCCTCAGCAAGCTCGAAATCTGGACCCTCGACATCGCCTTCCAGCTCCAATGATTCCCGGACATACACCTCGACTGAACATGAGCGTGCTCGAAGTGCACACAGCAGTGAAACCCAGCCATCTACTGGGCCAGTACGTCCAACGTCTCCCCCCTGGAAGAGCAGTATCCCGACGGCTTCATCCCGTGGGATCCAACGAACCCTGGGAAGTCTGACAAAATCCGGGAAAAAGTACCCCGTGACAAGGCAGAAATTCAGCAACAGAAAGAAGATACCGCTGCACTTAAGAAAGCTGGCGGCTCGTGTATGGCGTGCTATCGGGCTAAGAAGAAGTGTGGAACAACTACACCGTGTCCTCCATGCATTTCTAAGGCATGCATTTCTAAGGGTAATCGAATCTGCTTTCGAAGTTGGGGAGATCTGTGCCTGCTTGGGCCGCCTACGGGAAACTCTCTTACTATCCTTGGCTTCCCATCCCAAGAGGCGAAAGATCATCTGCAACGTATGAGTGAGGAGGCCTTTAAACACATGAATGCATTCAACGCGATTGTCAATATCCGCGAAACATATGGCGGAGACTGCACTGCATGGCATTGGACAGTAAAGAGGTCCAACATCACACTATCGAGTAAAGCAGAGTGCCCCGTCGATGACTTTCTCGCTGGGGTGACCAGTGCCCTCCCCATTGTGGATCTGGTCAAATTGAATGATCAATACAAACCAAACACACTCGTTTGGCATGCACTCAAAATTGCACATCAGTTTATAGCCATTCAAGGCTTGGCGCAGGCTCGAATCCGTACGTCCTGGCTTGAAATTAGCACCGGGAGACTCGTCTTGTTTTATATTTTGGTTCTCTCTTTCCGAAAGCTCGCAGAAAGGTCTCAGGAGTTTTGCCCTGTCCTGTACGTGGCTCTGTGTGGAAAGGACAAGCAGAACAAAAAAAGGCCACAGAAAGAAAGAGAGATCGATCACGCTTGGGTCGCCGCTGCATTATATTACCGAGTTGTATGTGGCTTGCAAGATCTTCAAACCAACCCACTCATTGCGAGAATATTTGGTCCCTCTAGCTATCATCTAAATGGTGTTCGCGAAAAACTCGAATATATCCTGCGCAATGTGTCCCCCCGACACGGGTCTACGAACAAATCTTCTAGTAGAGCGATTCTTGAGGACGGAGTTCCCAAAATCCCGTCATGTCCAGAGATCGATATGGCTTTCTGGCTGGGAGTGCCGGATGACCCCGAGCAAATGCAGTCCGTTTTGAGCCAGCCCGAGAGTCCATTTTCGCCGCCAGCCTTCGAAATGCCAGTGTTCTTGGCTGATAATTTCTCTCGGCCTGGGCGTGTGGCGAATCATGTTGAGCAGCACGATGGGCACTCGCAATCAATGACTTCTCACGATACAGTGATTCCTCAACAGAATGCCTTTGATAATATGGTCTATATCGATCAAATCGAGATATTTGAATCGAATAGTCTATCCACCGTCCTCGGAAACGATAGCATTGATGCATTTGATCCAATGGCTGTGACATTTGTTGATTCAATGCCACTCGATACAATGCCACCCAATGGCAATTTCCCGCAATCCCTGTACAATTGTTGAAACCTTTGTCGACATTCGCTCACTATTGCTTTTTTTTTTTACAAGTTATCCATGGGAGGAACATACAATCGTTTTGAACACGTTTGGGGAAGGTTAGCTTAGGAAGTGAAGTTTTTGGGGATAAATGTCCAATTGCTTCGTGATTAGCACCAGGTATCTAGAAGTTCGCTCACTCATACTTCTAGCAATAAAATTCAAAGAATTCCCAATAGTAATATTTTTGTTGATCGTTATATCTGTAACAGCAAAACAAGTCATTCCCGCGTCTGGCGCGTCTCCAGAATCCTCCCACCGCCAAACACCTCATCTCTCCACATTCTCATGGGCTGCGAGCCCCTCCACTTGAATTAATGCTGAAGAACTCTTAATCCTTCTAATTAAACCTGAACACGCCATTCACCATGGCCTCTGGCCAACCTTTCGCGTCGCGCTCCTACGCCGGCACGAAACTGCCAGAACGCTCCATCAATACGAACGCCATGCCATTCAGCGCCTCATCGTTCTCACGGCATCGCGGTCTGGGAAATGCAAACCAAGAATTCAACGGCGCCGAAGGTCAAAAGCAAATGCAACAGTCTGCGCCCGCACCCGCAACAAATGCCCAGTCCCATGGCCCAGCGCAGGACGCAAATCCGCTGAGCAGACTCACCGAAGAGCAGAGGGAAGAGATCAACGAAGCTGTAAGGGATACCCCAGTCCATTTATGATAAACTACGATTCTCCCCAATTACTATACCCTCATGCAATCCCCCCTCTCTCATCCCTCTCCAATCGTGAAAAAGAAAACACCCCTCCAAAAACCCCATCCAAAACCAAAGCTAACCAAACCCCCTTCCAAAAGTTCACCCTCTTCGACCTCGACCGCGACCGCCACCTCGATTACCACGAGCTCCGCGTCGCCTTCCGCGCTCTCGGCTTCACACTCAGCAAACAAGAACTAATCTCCCTGCTAACAACCTACGGCGTGCCCCGTCCACAAGTACAACAACAACAACAAGCCGCCGGAAACCAGCACGGGCAGACACAGCCCCAAGCCTCAAACAAAGGCCCCGTCTCGAACCCGCAGCACCCGTCGAACCTTCTCATGCCGCTCTCGTCGTTCCAAGCTGTCACGGCGCTGAAGATCCTCGAGCGGGACCCGCGCGACGAGATCCTGCGTGCGTTCGAGCTTTTCGACGAGGGGGCTAAGGGGTTTATTGATCTTGAGGATTTGAGACGTGTTGCTAGGGAGTTGGGGGAGACTGGGCTTGAGGAGGAGGAGCTTAGGGCTATGATTGAGGAGTTTGATCTTGAGGGTGTTGGTGGTGTTACTCGGGAGGCTTTTGTTGGGATTTGTTGGCAATGAGTATCAGGATGAGGGATTTCTCGGTCGTCTTGCTGGGGTTTAGATACTTTTGTTGGATGGGTTCGCTCTCAAAGGCTGAGACTGAGACTTGACTGGGGGTTGTTGATTGTTTGTGCATGGGGGTTTTCCTTGGTGTTGGGATTTGAGTACTTTTCTTGTCTGTTGTCGTTTTACTCGTGTGCTTGTTTTGGGAGTAAGTGCCTCTTTTCCTTTGTGTTTATTTTGGGTTAAAATCGCACTTCAAATGGATGTTCATTCCTCTATACGATATCTACATCTACATACTGAGGTTCCCATACTTGTAATTTGATATGCGGTATAATGTAGCCCCAATGGGTTCGATGTATCTACTCACGAAGAATGCATATAAATCCAAAAAGACTAGCCACAAGAAAGGAAAGCCCAAAAATCCAGATCGCGGATGATACAATACTATAAGGACCGATATATGTAAAAACCAACCATCCGCGATGACGCCAATACCCAAATCCCCCATACGCAAATCCTAGAAGGAACGAATGCAAATAAGATAAGATTCAATAGAACCCATAAACTAGAATAAAGCCACAAGCAACGGGGCGATCATGAGTATCGTGGCGGCGGCGCACCAGGGGGAGGCACATTCTGATAACCGGCATTCCGGTATCCATGCCACTGGTCCATAGGCCGATGATCAGGCTGGGGACCATTATAGCGGCGATATGTACCAGGGGGGATAGCCTTGCGGGCCTTACGCAGCTGTGAATTGCGCTTGCAGCGACTATAGATGCAGAAGAAGATAATGAGCAGGAGCAGTGTGCCGCCGCCGACACAAATGCCGATAACAAGCTTCTCGTGCTGGCGGATCCAGCCCAGGGCCGAGGATCCCTTACACTGGCCTGCGTTGCAGCGGCCGCCGGCATCGCAGGGAGTACCGTCGAGGTAGTTCTGGCCCATGTCGTAGCACTCCGTGGTACCAAATGTGTGGGGGAGTGAGGATGTGCCGCAGAGGAGATTGCAGGATGGATAACCTGTGTTTTCGCAGGCCCAGGAGTCGTTGGTGTTCACCAAGGAGCCTAACACTGTGCGACACTGGTAATCGCGGCTGGTGCATTGGCCGCTAGCGCAAGCGAGTTTCTGGCCCTCATCGCCGCAGGCTGCGCCGTCGTCTTTGTATTTGTTTCCAGGACAGGAGCTTGAATTTCCACTGCAGGTCTCAGCGATGTCGCATTCTCCGGTGCTGGCGCGGCAGATGGTACTGGCGGAGGAGAACTGGCACTGGGTGCAGCAGCTGTCGTTAGAGTCGTCGCAGACAGCACTGTCTTTGAATTTGCAGGTCTTTGGGTCACAGCAGGAGTTGCCGGCGCAGCTTTCTTCGTCACCACAGTCGCACTCCTCATCGCCTTCGACGATCCCGTTACCGCATTGGCTGCCGCTGATTGTGACGACGCCGCGGTTGTCGGACAGACAAGAGGACTTGATGCTGTTTCTGCCAATGGCAGAGCAGATGTTACCGATGGTACAGTCCGAAAACTTGGTCATGGTGTTCTGAGCATATGGGTTCATGATGTATTTCGCACCGGCATCGCAGGTCGACGAACTCATCGGACAGCATTGAGATGAGGCATCCAAGTTGCTCTTGCAGCCGGATTCATCGCAGTCGTGCACTGCTCCAAAGGTGTGACCAGTCTCGTGGGCAAACACCTGCCAGGAAGAACCGGAATTGCGAACTACGACGTTGGCACCAGCCACAGAGTTAGCTCCGGAGGTAACCAGCTCGGAGGAGCATAGACGACCCATCCATGAAACTCCCACCTCGCTGCCTGTTGGGCAGTTGGTCATCAGAGTCCAGTAGGCATTGTCATCTGAGTGTGTGGCACGCCACTTGGAGAATTCATTCAACCGCCAAGTGACATTTCCGCCGTTGCAGTCCACGTTCCATGGGGTAGCAGCGGAGCCCGTGCTGGTGCAGCCTGTCTCGGAGATTGTAAGGTTGCGCAAACCAATGGACACATTAAAAGATTCCTCATAGAGATTTGAAGCCGTGTTGACCACGTTGATGATCCAGTCCTTGGCCGCTTCACGGGGGGTGGAGTTGGTAGCCATGAAAGATTCGGTGAATTCACAATCGGTCGCAATCCCGATCAAGGCGACTTTCTTCGTCTTGGGACATCCACTGGAATCCCCGATAGTCGTTTTCAGATTCACACCGCCAGTGTTACCCGTGACACCGCCAATATCTGACGACTGTCGCTTGCTCAATCCAAACATCGAGTTCAACGAGGCAACACCCCACCGACCATCTGCTTCGTCCATGTCATATCCAAAGATTGAACTGGCCAGATCAGCATTGTACCCAAGTTGATCTGCGCCGCAACCCTCAGAGCCCTCGGAGGCAGAAAACGACCGCTTCTTGAGCTCAGCGTGCGTATATAGAGACATATCGGAGTCACGGTAGACGATCATAGATTCCCCATTTCTGGATTCGACGTCGGCATCCATCGGGCGCTTCTTGTCGAGGTAGGTCGATTGCAACTCAATATGGTGCTTGTCATCGTTGACACTGAAGGCCCCTTCAAAAAGAGGCTCTAGGCCATCCCTTTTGACGGTGATTCTTGCCCAACCCACTGGCGTCCATCTCCCTTTTCCAGATCCTACCAAGGCGCGGCCTCGGAAGACTTTGTGTTCCTTTCGGTTGATCGGTTCCGCACGTGTTATTGTGCCGTCGGCACCAACATATTGCACGTAAGCGTCGTCGGCCAAGATATCATGATTGGGCTCAAGTTCTAGCTTTATGCGGGTGTCGTCTTGGTGTAAGGCGAAGGTGATATCAAATTGTGAGAGGTGGTCTATTTGATGTGAAGGAGTCCGAATGATGGCATTATCGACAAGCGTCACCTGTCGAATGGCCTCTGAAGCTTGTGATCGTGCTGGAGATAGTTAGCTAAGCAACGGGGCTAGGCAACGGGGCTAGGCAACGGGGCTGACTGGGCAACAGGGGCTGAGAGGGGAATATTTACCTTGTGTTTGTGGAATGAGCGATGAAAATGCACCGATTAAGGGCAAGATATTAGAAAACCTCATCGCAATATCAGGGCAGAATATCAGGGTTGTTCCCCGGGTTCCTTTTCAGGGAGATAGAGTTTGGCCCTGAGAAAGGGAAATCTCAAAGGGTCCACTTAAAAGGGTCAAGTAGAAAAGAAATATCAAAAGAGAGAATAACGAAAGACTGTAGAAAAGTAGAAAACTGAAGAGAAAGGAAAGAGGGATCAGATAATCCGGACTCAGCCGTATCTCCAGGGTTCCATGCCAAGGGCTTAGGAATCCTAAAAGGATAGGGCTTGGCAGTGGACTGAAACAATTCCATTTTGATGAAATTTAATGTACATTATTTCAATACATTTAGGGGGGGCAATTGGCTGTTTTTGGTTCTTGTGGAGATAGTTATTTATGTTGCTTGGCAATATGTAAGTAGGGGATGATACACCATATATCCAATGTTGAAATTGTGCAAGTCTACAAAGTGAAATAGTACTCCGTACTCCGTACTCCTATTTAAATATCCCAGAAGCGCCAGGGTTCTCGTTTTATTCATACGCGTAAGTGGCTCAGGGGCCAAGCCATTAGATATTAACCTATCAAAGACTTCCGATGCTTGGCATTCAAGGCTGCCAAATAATGGATCCCCTAGTTCTCATGATATATCTGATGTGCCAACTGAGCAAAATGTGGGATCGACCCCCCGCATATAGGGCAGTCCATACTCCCCAAGGGTTCATCGTCGTCCCACCCATCGTCTGATGATGACTCTATCTCACGGGAACCTCCGGGCACATCAGATGAGGACTCGACTTTCTGTACAGTCCAATCTTTGAGTACTGTCTCCTGCTGTCGAAACATCTTCCCAATATCACGTCCACTGTTTTGCTTCTGATCTCCCGCGCTCTCCACCATATTGGTAACCGCAACGTTCAACAAACTGAGGTTCCACCCAGCCTTTTCGGGATGTAATTTGCGAAACATAGAGAAAACACTTTCCCGGACCAGTCGCTCGGCCAATGCATCGATATTCTCATCCAGGTTGAAGATAAAGGGCGGCAGGGGTGCCGAGCGAGAGATGCGATTGAAACTGTGCGCACGCCCGGCACCTAAGTCTGGCGGAAGTCTTGACCGGGTCGATAATCGCAGAGTGCGAGGGTGAGCACGCCATCTCCCTTGGGGAGCAGTGTCATCATCCATATCAAGTAGATCGGTTCTTACACGGCGGATCAGACTTCGCGACAACACTACTAGCTCTCGTCGTACACTCTCGAGGGTATCTAGCCGGCCATAGGAATCCTCAATGCTGATCTGGGTGGGCACATCGCGACCCTCGAGCACTTCGGAATTATCTACACCATGGAGAATGCTCCACATGCGCATCCCGATCCCTTTCACTGAGCCTGGCCCGCCAAGGATTCTGTCCAGTAAAGGCGGGCCCATGCCAGGGAACTGGCGGACATCCTTGACTGTGATCTTCTTGTCGATCTCTTCTTGCCCTGTGATATGGGATTTCAGTTTCTGGGCAATCCGAGATCCAATTCCAGGAATCTTTCGGATCTCATGACCATCCAGAAACTGGAACACGTTGCTCGTATTATTTTCGGTGGCCGTATATGGCGGCAGAAGAGTCGTTTGGCCGTTGGGCTTGTGAACATTACCCACCAGCTTTGCCAGCAGTTTGGAGGTTGAGATCCCGCCCGTAGCCGTGAAGCCTATTTGATGCTCTAACTTACTCCGTATATGACTCTGTAAATGAGAGGCAACGAGCAAGCGCAATTCTAACGAAGACAGATCTGTCTGAGCGACGGAGGCCGCCTCCATTGCGGGGAATGTCGATCCTTGGAAGCGAGTGGCATCGTAGGAAAATCCAACGGTCGGGTCCTTTCGATCAAGATGGAAATACGAATTCGCCAAGTCATTTTGATTTAACACGCCAGTGTTATAGTCAATCATTTCCGTGACATCGAGAAAGAGCTCGTCAAAGCCTAGCTTTTCGACACGGCCGCCCCAGACAAGGGAGCGAACCAGCAGATAAAGCGTCTTGGAGGCATCTCGGAACTTGGTCAAGTCTTCACCCAGAACTATTACGACATCAGGACAGATGCGTTTGGCATCTTTGATGAGTTGCAACTTATGCAGACCTCGCCGTCGGGCTTCGTAGTTGCAGGTTACCACAATCTGCTTTTGCTGAACTGCCAAGGGAAGCGACCTCAATTCAGGTTGTTCAGTCTCAAAGACTGAGGCATAGAAACAGTCATAATCCTGGATATAATTAGTCAAAGCAAGGCAGTAAGAGTGGGGAGAGTCACCAAATGGAGGATGATTCGACTGTCGTTCCGCACCAATAGTGCCATGAGCCCTGAGCTGATACAGATGTGTCCATGCGATTTGATTTTTGGGTGCCTGGAGCTGAAAGCCCGTTGGAACAAAGTCAGCCCTGGAAGAATCGAAGGCTTGGAACCTTCCAAGGCTGCAATGTGTTTGTGGCTGGTGTGTGGCGTATGTGGCTTAGCATTATCAGACTTGCACATTTCTGCCTGCCCACCTGCCTAAGTCTTTCAGCTTAGTCCTAATTCTGTGGAGTATACGGAGTACAGAGCAGGCGGATACTCATTGTATTGGCTCTGATATGTTTCTTCCAATGCAAGGCAGCTACAAGCTATTTCGAGATTTAGTCATAAAATAAGTTATATCTCCCAAGGCTACTATCTCCCCTCCCTTTTAGACATCTCCCCGAAGAAACTCCTGGCCAGACCTTTAAGCTTCCCTGGCACAAAAGTGGAAAATGCCAAAGAAAAGTCGACGCTATTGGGTGGAGCCGATGTCACATTTGACGGCGCTTGCGTCACGTGTACTGTAGGCTTTGATCAAATACATGTATACGTACCTGTATGTAGAACGAAGTAGATGTAAACAAAGGATAAGACACACTTGGAACGTGGACTCTCAACCTATCATTTCAACCTACTTTATAGGTATAGATTATTCCGAACCATTTTTAGGTATTCGCCACCAAACCCGTATGTATAGATGTAGATCGGAGACCCACGGGCCCTGTTCTTTTTATAGAAGCGCGTTTTTCTTCCTTCTGATCCTGATTCTAATTGACTACGAGCCTGATTTGGTTTAAGAATATAGATTAAAACACTCTAAAGTATACGGAATACGGAGTAGAAGATGAAATATGCCTAGGATTAAATTAGAAAAAGAGAAAATAGTTCGGATGGTGGCGTCGATAGTTACGCATCCACTTTGAGTCTGGAATAAACTGTGGAAAATCTCTGCTTCTAATAATCTATGGAGTACTCTGTGTACTTCGGACTTTATATATTATCAAAAGGTGAAGTTAATCTGTGACATGCATCTTTCATCACATCCAAGCGCCAACCTCCTCTATTCTTAGTTCAACCCCGCTAAACATCTTTCCTCTTCTTTTTTTCCCTTGATACACACTTGACTATCCTTCATTTTCTGGTCTCTACTTTTCAATATGTCGTGTCTGTCGCCAGATGCCACGACTACAATAACTTCCCGACCAAAACTCACCCTCCAAACCACCGCTCTCCCTCGCACATTCGGCTCTTCAACTACCGGCCTATCCTTTTCTTTCGCAGCGGCACCAGCTGCATCCCCCACCATTCGAAATACCTTCAAGAATGCCTACGAGGTCACATCCCCATCATCCGCAACCTCCCCATCCAAATCTACCCGCTTCAACAAACCGTCCTCTCCCTACATCCTACACCCGAACAATAATATCTTCAACCGAAGCCCCTACCAACTCCCCATCGGAGTGCGCAGCATTCTACGCAACTCCCCACTAGAACCTGCAACTCGCCGACAATCAGGCTCTATATCAGCGGGCGGAAATGGTCCCAACGGTGCAGCCTCCCGCCGTGTCTTCTTCCCAGCAAAGAAACAAGTCAGCTACCGGTACCCACTGGAAGAAGAAATCCGAACAGAACGCTACACCGCGCAACACCTCGATCTCGTAGCGGAGGAGGCAGTGCAAGCCGAGGCAGACACCAAAACCCCACCTGAGACACGCCCCGCCCCCAATGCCGGAGGCGAAAAAGACACCGATTCCAGCCCGTCAACATCAGAGACAAGTGCCTCGGGCGATGATACCAGCGCCGATGAAAGCGTGCGTGGGTCTTCGCTCTCAAAGACGGAACGGAAGAAACGCCGCACAATGCGGATAGAGCGTCAGGTCCGGGCGGTGGCATTGCTAGATGGCTTTGAGGCTGATGGCTCGTCTACGCCGCAGACTCCCCGGCACGGTGCCAAGCGACGCAGGGAATGGAAATGGACTCTGGGGCCTGTCGATACGGTCTCGAACAATGGCCCCGAGAATGTCTCATTATTGCACTCCGCTCAGGTTTCCTTTGGGTCGGAGTCTCTTCGGGTATCCACTGACTTTGGACCCGGTCATTAATTTATGCAATGTTCATGGTTTCATGGTTGATGTCTTTTTTTCTTTCTTTTCGCCGCTTCTTCTTTTTCTTGCATAATAATGGCGATGCATATATTATTTACTCACGAATCATGTTGTATAGAGGCGCTATTTGGTTTTATCTGGTGGCTTTGGGCACATCTGTCCTTTTTTTCTTCTATGGCTGTTGTTTTAGCATACATATCTTTATGCATTATGTCCTTTCGATGTATATGTACTTTTTCCAATCTCATAAAGCACCGCAAAACAAAGCAGCGAGTGACTGGCAAAGTTCAATCCAGTTCTTTATCTTTTCAACTTTATAACGGCCTCGGAAGTTTTTTTTTTCGTGATTACAATACAAGCGGATTTTCTGCTTATTCACATATCCTCAGTCGATGTGTGGCGACTTGAGCGATCTAGCATGTTGTCGGATCCTCAGGTCTCCTCACGAGATTGAAAGAAACGCCCCCAGTCGTGCCAGTTGGTTAGTTGTCAAGTTCTAGGCCACCATCTATAGGTAGTTGAGTTGAAATCCCAAAGATACTAAAACTGTAGTCTGAGGGCCGAGAGGATTTGTACTAGGTGTACCTTTGGTTCCGCCCAGAAAAGGGAGAGGTTCAATAACTCGTGAAGCTTATATATATAGTAAATAATGGATATTCACATTTTATACAGTCGATTCATGCAAATGAGATACAAAACGCCAGAAACAAATAGAAAACATTCATACGTCGTTAAGTCTCCGTCTCGACATCTGGCTCGCGACCAGTGAGACCACCAGCTCCAACCTTCTTCTTTATCTTACGAAGTGCATACTTGGCCTCATTTTTGGCAAAAGCAGCATTCCGCGCAGGCTTCCACTGCATGAGACCACGCTGCTGTCGCTGCTCACTGTGTTTATTCGCCCTGTTGATCTGGCTGGTACTCATATTGGCTTGTGACGCAGGTGGCCCATTTCCAGTACCACCACTGATTGTCGAGGGTCCATTGGACAAGGGCTCGAGCTCGTCATCTGATTCTGAGGTTTCGTCGTCGTCGTGATCTTCGCTTTGGAGACTGGATCGAGGACGAGCGTGATCCTTGAGAGGGGAGGGGTGTACGGGTCATGGGGAGGTTCGTCCCGGCCAGGCTCGGCGACCTTGCGTCCGATGGAATCAGTGAAGGCACGCGGGTCTTGACCAAATGCACCACTCCAGTCTTGGCCGTGATGGTCGATCCACCGCTGACGCTCAGAGGGCGAGGCTTGCTTCAATATGTCCCGTCCGTCGATCAAAGACTGCTCGTGCTTTTCTTGCACTTCGACGGGAACTTCGACTTTCACGGTGCGGGAACGCACACCTTGGGACAGACACGCTTCCCAGGTCTCGAAGGTCTCGCGGGAGTCGTTATCAACCACGAACCGCTCGTGCGACTCGTCAATGCCCGGTGAGAACTTGCATCGGAATTGTAGGCGTCCCACCTCCGTCAAGTCCTCGAGTCCAGGTGTCTCCTTGGCCTTCCAATTCTCCTCTGTGATGTAATTTTGTGTCAAGCGAGTACCCATCTTTGTCGTCCAGATGGGAAGGTCGATGTCTGTTTCCTCGTTATCGACAAGGTGTTGGAGCCACAAAACAGCGTATGCTGCTGCACTTCGCTTGCCCTGATTATGGAACTCGAACACAATTGGAGAGCGGTATCGGTGCTTCACAGGCATGCGCAGTGAGTCACGGAAAGTCTCATCGGAGGTATCGAATTCCGCATCACTGCCATTCATGTGACACTTGTGTCGGGTGATCTTGCCAACGCTGCCACCGGTGCGCAGCTTGATCTTAGTGTGTCGACCATAGCCCTTCGCGATGATACTTTGTCCAGCAAATTCAAAGGTGCCAACATCCCAGCCAAGCATAGGAGGTGGCAACTTAGTCTCCACATGGCGGAACAGAAGAGAGATACGGATACGTCCAAACCCAATACCACCATCGAGGGGATACCAGCGGGTCACCTGCGAGCTGGTTTGAAGAATATCGGACAGCTTGAGGGGAACCACACCAAGGATGGGGTCGTGTTCGCGATAGCGTTGGTCTCGGACGGTAATGGTCACGACGGCTGAGCGCCAGTCGCGAACAAATCGTTCAGTTCCTGCGTTGAAGATAGGCTTGGAGCTCACAGCCTTTGCACGAGTGCGATAGATCTGAAACATGCTGTTAGCATCCGGAATTTGGAGTTGCGGGGCATGTATCTACAAATACGTACCAGTTGATCGTTCAACATAACCTTGCAGTAACTTGTTGGAAGATCTTCACCCTGCTCCTCTGTGTTCTCACCATATTGCTTCGCCGGCTCATACTCCTTGCCCTTGCGGTTCCCATCACTGCCCTTGATATTGGCAAGCTGAAGGTTGACGATCTGGTGCACAACAATGTGCACAATACCACTGGGCCAAATTGGATCAGGTGGTGTATGCATAACGGCATCCTCTTCGTCGTTGTTGATAGTTCCCTTTTCATCTTCGAAAGTCGGGTTGCCTTTTAGGTTTTCAGGAAGGTCTTTCTTCTTGCCATCAGTACGCAGCTCAGGGCGAAGTTTTGGTTTCCCGAAGTATCCAACTTCCCAATGCAGCTGACCGGGCATTTCAGTGCCCTGATCCATACCCTGAAGCTTTGACACCTGGGGATACATCTGACTGGGATGCTGAAGCATCTCACGGATAGGTAATTCGATCTTGCCGACAATATCATCAGCTGTGTTACGGTCAGAGTCCCAGAGCTCGATGCTCAGATTTTCATCGGCCTTGATCAGTTCTGGCGTCACAAGAAGGGCGGCAGTCTCTTCCCAAATTGGGTTGAGGTCATCCGTAATCACACGGGTACAATACATAGGCTTGCCATACTTCGAGAAGGACAGGTTGATGTATGGGTCACTGCCACCACCCTCGCTGCCACGAGCATCCTGTTTACTCAAACCGACAGCGCGGTGAATGCGAATCCACATCACACCAAGAGCCAGAGTATCTTTGTGGATGTCATCTCCTGTCAACATCATACCAAGATCCATGGTCATTGACTTGGGAGCTGCAAACATGCCACACGCGGTACTAATAGCGGAGTTGACAAAGTTGGATATCAAGGGTAGGTTTAGAACATTCACTCCCGTTCGGAACATTGGCATACAGCCAGCCCTGACGTGGGGAATGCCGACCAAGGTGAAAGTCACATCCTTCATGAACGGTGCTTCGGGCATCATTTGGAAGCGCATGCGGACAGTTCCGACGAGTTCAATCAGTTCCACGAACACGGGGAACGGCACACCAAACAAGCCTCGAATTCCGAGATAGAAGACCAGCTGCATGTGCATGTTGCGTGCCTTTGCCGAAGCAGACTGGCCAGTTGGCTTTGCGTGATAGGCAAAGGAGGCTTCCATGTTGTAGTAACTCGCTCCTTCCTCCGCAGCAGCGGCTTCCTGTGGATCCTTGTTCTTTCTGTTTTCCTCGCGGATGTTTTTCTTCAAATCCTGCACATGATCGTCGGGTAGAGCCCGCATGCTCAGAATTCGTAGTGGGTTATCACCCTGGTCGATTTCTGCGATTCGAACATTCTCTACAACCTTGGGCGCAGAGACTTGCATGATATCTTCGATTGTGTCGGCCACAGGCGTCAGCATCTCTGGATTAACGAGTCCCCATATAACTCCGAGGAAACTGTTCATCCACTCGACGGATTCAGGAAGGAGATTGGCAGTGGCCTTTTAAGATGTCAGTATTTCAATCCACCAATGAGATCATATAATAATAGAAACTTACCATCTGGCCACGAACATGCTCGCTACTCCACTCCATTGCTCGACCACTGCGAAGAACTTCCTGCATCCATAACCATACGCCGCTCGTGACGCATGCAGCCAAGGGAATAAGGCCCCAAAGAGATCCTCCGAACATCCGCCCCAGTACAATTATGGCAACAGGTATCCCTATGCAAAGTGCCGTCGCACGCTTTTGCAATGACTCAAACATAGGCTGGTATGAAACAGTCGGCGTGGGGTGGAATAGAACATTGGTCTTCTCTCCTCGAATGGGAACATCGGAGGTCGTGCCTTCGGCGATGGGATCGGGGGGTGCGGTGATGTCTTGTTTTTCTTTATACTCTGCAAGATCTTGATCGGCACTTGTTTGAACGTCCTGATATACATGTCAGTGATATGTCCCGATGAACGATATTCTATAGAGATATATTACCGTGGGTTTCCCAAGATTTGCATTCGGAACTGTCAACTGCGCATGGATTAGAATCCATTCATAATTTGTCCAAGATCATCCTACATACCATTGGATTCGTTACAGCGTCCATAGCTGTCTCGTCTAGGTCCTCAACGCCAATGTCCTTGCCCGTGGTGGGATCTGTCACGGTACGCATCTTGGCTTGGGAGACTTCACGTGGCTTATGAGCGACGGCATCTCCGTCTTTTTGATCTTTTTGATCTGCTTGCTCTGGTTGTTTTCCAGACGCCCGTTGCGCCTTTTCACGTGCAGCCTTCTCTTTCTTGGCTTTATTTTCTTCGTCTATCCTGCGATCACGTTCTTTCTTCTCGGCATCGATATGTTCCATAAAGTGATGAATGGTTGGAATTGGATTGGCACCACTCCAATGCTCCCCGACCCGACGGCTCTGGGGAGCATTAGATTGCTGGCCTGTAGCCATCTTAGAGATTGGAAAGGAAATGAATCAGGTTGAGCTTTCTCTTCTCGTGTTAATTTAGGTGGACTGTACAGCGCAGAAGAGGAACTTTTTTTTAATCGTGAGAATCAAGGAAAAGAGAAAGGGAAAAATATACAAAGTAGGAAATTCCATGATCGGCGAGATGGAAGCTTCCCCAGGACTACGTCATCGATCAGGAAATGGGTTATGACGATACTACCGGCTGGTAATATAAGAGCTCACCTATCATATATCTGCAAACATGTAACTGAACATCAAGGTACTATGTATGCACTTATTTACAATATCCTTATTACCCCACATTTGATGTCAATGGCCCTGGCCCAACTCGCCCTATTTGTCGGGTCTTGGCGTTCACACTTGTGAGTTGGTAAGCTGCCCACTATAAAATTGAGACTGAAATTTGAGTGCTTGATTGTTTGTGTTAGATTTGCACTTATTTGCCATGGATATAAGGATGTATCTCAGCTGAATGTGATCATTTACCATATATATATATATATAGCATATGATGTCATCGTAATCAATAACCAATTGACTTACAAAGTACCCCGTACATCCATATCATTTTTCTTACCGCTTTGATGATGGGAAAAAAGACATGGGAAGAATAAAGATGAATACAGGGGTAGCCTGTTAGAGCGAATAATAAGGCTTATGAGAAGTTGGAGAACTCGGGAGCTATCCGGGAATGCCAAGCGCACCTACAGGTATTTACCTTGACAGCTTTTTAGACGCGAATCGGAGTACGGAGACCTCCGTGCAGAAATAAAAGGTAAAAACTAAAAGCGTGACAGCCTAGGCTTTTAAATTAGCCGAAGAAAAAAAATAATTTCGAGATTCAAATTGAATTCCTAATTAGGGATTCCAAATCATCAGCCCAAACAATGTTCTATTGCGTCAGAGCCCATTTTTGAGCTGAATCGACAGAATTCCATTGGCTACTGGGCGAGTCTGACTTGCGGCAATAAACTGCCGTCGGGTAGACTGTGGGTCTTAAATACTTTTTTTTCTTTCTCGGGACCATAGACCTATCCATTTCACCAAAAGACATACACCTACCTGGGATTAGAAAAGATTTAATGCCTTGTACAATACAATCTTCATGGCGGGATCAGATCGAATAAGTAAAATCCGGACTATCTGGTCCATATATTTATATTTCATAGAGCTGTACAAAGTACATTCCATATGGGGGCTCCAGATGTCTCAACATTACTTGGCGTTGAAGATGTTTTGCACATGGGTTGATTCCCATTCACGTATGTTAGAGAATGAACCAGCACTTTCTATTGTAGCTAATCCTGGGACTTTGCTAGATAGCCCAAAATATATGAGCATCAAACATGTTCATGCCTTGAATTCTAGCCAACAGTGGGCCGGGGCTTTTCACTCGGTTCACCAACCAATAGCACCGAACAATATTGAACGGCAGTAATAGCCTGCCAATCATAGACCTCGTTTCTTTGACCAAAATAGTCCTGTTGCAAGCTATACTCCGGCCATCAAATCCACCGGCAGGGATATTTCCCTGAGGGGCTTTTCTTCCCGATCCCTCTTTCATAATACTGTCTGGTTGTGCGTCTCACCTTTCACGTTCTCGCTTATAACTCAGCACTGACAATGAATAGCGGGCTGCGAAGTCGCAATGAGCGGAAGGCTACCTCCCCATCACTCTTCGCAGTCTGAAACCCATCCATCTATCCCTCAAGATGATAAGGATCCGTTTACCTATGACACAGCTGCGGTTGAGAGTAGAGAAGTATCTCCTTTAACCCGGCCTGACTCTACAGTCTTCGCTACATACTATCCGTGGAGCACGTCTCGAGTCATAGGGGAACAGCCAGTGAACGCCAAGGTGGCCATTCCCCGACTTGACCTTCCACTTGTAAGCAATAATGGTCGAGTTAGTCGAGCATGCCACAATTGTCGCCAACAGAAGAACAAATGTTCTGGTCATCGACCTTCTTGCCTCCGGTGCGAGGAGGCCAATGTGCTTTGTGTCTACGTCGACGGGAAACGAGAGAGAAACGCTAGGTCGGTGATTGTCCTAGATATGGTCGCCCACAATGTTTACCCCTAAGATTTAGACAATTGACAGCCATAACGAACCAACTTCAACAATACGAATCTCTTGTGCGCGATATTTATCCCAAATTCGACACCGAGCTGGCCAAAACCGTCGACCAAGCTCTCGCAAAAGTCAGTAAAAAAAAGACTCCATCTGGTCGACCGAAACCAGACCTCTTGATCAGCCTAACAACCAACAGATAGCTAGTCTTTCCCCGTCATCGCCGACCGTCGCCAAAGTACCAGATGAGACAGACTCGTCGACCCCAACAATTTCTTACATGGATTACACCCTGGAGGACTTTAATGGGGACGCTTCACTGCAAGCGATTGGCTTTGTAGGAGAACATTCGGCAATCGCATGGTTATACAGGCTTAGGTGCTTGATCGGTCAGAGTTCCAACTCGGACGGCCTATCCGAGGAAACAACCCGTCCCTCAGTTTCGTCCTGTGGATTCTTCATGGATGATGCCGGAATCCCGCCAATAAACGACCTAGATGTGTTCGCATATCCCCCACAAGCGGTCGCCGATGAACTGGTGGACCGATACTTCCAAGTCGCGCACGCCTCCTTTCCCGTCCTCGGCAAAGAAATTTTCCTAAGCCAATGTCGCTCATTCTATTCGAACTCAACGACGCATCCTGGAAACAAATGGATGGCGTTATTGAATATGGTGTTTGCGATCGCTGCAAGACATTCTGAGCTTTCCGGAGACCAACCTCAGCTGGATCAAAATAACCACACGGTATACTTTGCCCGTGCCTGGCGGTTGAGCATGGGCGAGAGTGCGCTCTTGGATAATCCCAACCTGCAGCAGACTCAGGTAGAGGGGCTAACCTCACTTTACCTGCTTTCCATCGGACAGGCTAATAGGTAGGTCGAATACCGCAAGCCTTTACCTATCGACTGATTTTGGTTTAGGGCATGGAGAATATGTGGTATTGCAATTCAGTCGGCGATCGCGATGGGAATCCACCTTCGTAGCGAAAGCCCCAGATTCACACACGTGTCCAAAGAAACCAGATACCGGCTATGGTGGGCCCTGTACATGTTGGACATCCTACTCTGTGTGATGACTGGACGCATGCCCAGAATTCAGCAGGAACACTGCACGACCCCTTTGCCGGTGCCTTACAAGGAGGAAGACTTCCGAGATGAGCATGTAACGAGGCTTATCATGGACAATCAATCCAGAGCCCGCCTCATGGCTTCTCTACTCTCCTTCGATCCCTCAGTTGAACCGAACGACCGTTTATCTATTCCGGCTTCTCCACAGTCCACGCCTCAACGGGAATCACCGAGCCACCAGCTCCAAGCTAACGTCTCATTATACTTACTTTATTCCCTTGACTTGGCAGCTGTGATGAGACAAGCAATTGAGATCTTGTATTCTCCCGGGGCGGGACGAAAATCACGGAATGACACCGAATTGGCCATGACATCGCTCAACAGCGCCGCTGACAACTGGTTTGCTCGACTGCCTGCGACTTATCAGTTCACCGAAACCAGAGTTGACCGATCCTTTATCCGTCAGCGGACGAGTTTGGCCTTTCAATACTATTCGACCAAACTTGTCATTTCGCAACCTGCCCTTCGTTCTCATATCAGCGGTGAAGACTTCACCGCGAGTCTTGATACTCCAATGGCAATGATGTGTGTCAATTCAGCAGGTCAAATGCTTGATCTCTTACCCAATGAGCCAAACCTCTCCTGCCTCTTGGGTTGCTCACCTTGGTGGTCTGCTCTCCACTACCTCACGCAGAGCACTACGGTGCTCATAACACAGTTGCTCACCCAGAATCACATGGGTGTCAGCGAAAGAAATGAGTTAGTCGAAAGAGTCCAAAAAGCTCTGCAATGGTTGAGGGAGTGTTCCACCAAGGATCCATCTTTCAAGCGGGCTTGGAGTAACTTTACGGAGCTCCTGTCATCCCAAGGATCCGAAATTTTAAAATAAGATCTCTGGGCCATCACACCCTGGATCCCCCCTGCGCCCTTTCTTCTTTGTTTCCCTCACGTATAAAACATGCATCATTTACTTCCTTTGCGATCATCAGCGTGTCATTCCTCTGTTTCAGATAGATCTATATATATGAGAGTTCGAATCAACAAACTAGAGTGGATTACTTATTTCTTGGATATTTTGTGCATGATACTGTACAGCGGATATCAACTCCATTGTGTAAATGGAAGGTCGCCGATTGGTGTATTCGAGGGTACGCTTGACGGCAATCCTGGGAACTTGAATATTATATTCGAATACCTTGGATATACAGGGAAATACACAACCCCCAAGAAGCTATTGGTTTCAAGGCTATGAATATATAAGGTGTATTGCCACCTGGGTGTTCGTATCCGGGGCCCCGGGGGCCCCGGGCGTTCCAAAACGAGGCCCATATAATGAATGACGTCAACATTCTTGGGTTCAAAAGGCCTATATAGTGAAAGGCTAATCATTAAATATAAGACTCCAAGTCTTGACTTCTCTCAAACTCCGTACCCATTAGACAGGCCAAAATGGCACCGAAGTATATTGTAAACCCCCCTTCTATCCTTCTCCCATGAATCATACTAACAAAGATAGGTAACCTTTCAAGACTCAGTTCCGACTGAGCAGATCAATGCCTACATGCAGCAGATTCACGAAGAAGGTGGCTCCGTCACAAACAGATTTCCGGATATGATCGCGAGGGGGTTTTCGTACGTATATTCTCCACACAACTGGGCAACCTCGAGAACTTCTTACTAATTTACGTAGAGCGTACATAACAGACCCTGTTCTTCATAGGATTCAGTCAGATCCGTCTGTGATTGAATATATATCTCCCGATTCTTCTTGAAGCTAGTCGTCGCTCATCCTCTCTACGATACCTGTATAGTTTAGCATATCATTTTTCTTTTCCGTAAATTTCGCGCATAATGACATGATTTATAGCCATCTGATCAACGTGATTGCGTACTTGCTGCTTTTAATAACGTACATCGAATGTGTTTATTGAATCTACTATAACCAAGGAGTGATATAATGTCAGATATTGCACTTCTTCATCCGTCATTTTGGTACAATTCCTCACTAGCATTCGTCAAATAATCCTAGGCAGAGGCCCCGGGTCTGTCTTTTACTATATTAGTAAACAATGCTTAGAGCGTGAGATTGTGAAATAATAAGGCTGCTAGCACGCAGTAAATTAGTTTATGGCCAGTCTGATCCTAGCCAACAATTGTATTAAGGACGGGCATCTGTAAAGGCTATTGGTAGTCCTAGACAAGCTCTGATGAAGGTTGCTGAGTCTCCCCGGAGTTTCGAACTGTGACATACGTTTGAAAGTATGGAAAAACAGTGGGCTGCGGGTATATTCGATGGTGTCATTCTATGAGTGTTCTAAATGATGATCTCCATGTTGATCATCCTTGGTCAAGAATCTCATCTCCGATGAAGGGAAAGAAAACAATAGTATTAACAAGAGACCAATCAAAGTGGCCTTGTTGCTGGTCAGATCAAGATATCTATCAAAGGCAGGATCATCCAAGGCACGTCAAATGAATCTGAGAATACTTCGTATACAACAAAAGAAATGACGTGTCGAAACACCAAAATGAAGACAAAAGAACACAAGGCTCGCTATTAGCGCAAACCTGCTCTACATGCACGCGTTCATCATATTCCAACATTCATCCCCCAATTATCCCAGTTGAAATCAAAATCGGCCAAAAACGGAGGCTGAAAGGTAAATTGAGAGTTGAAAGCCCAAAACTCGTTACTCGGATCAAAGCACAAGCTGTCATCCGCCCGCTGGGCTGTCTCGGCAACCTGCTCCATTAAATAACCGGGCTCCGGGATCGTGAGCATCCGTGAAGATGATGGGTAGTATTGCCCAGGAACGGTGGTGGGCACAGTAAAGCTTTTAGATGATTGGTCGGCGAAGGCACGACGTTCGAGTTGTACCCGACCGAAAAATGGAATATCAAGCTTGATGCGACTAAGTCTTCCATTATGGTATTGTCCTTCCGACGCGTCAAATCGCGGGAGTTCGGTCCTGATTCCTATCGCCATAATAGTCCTCAAGACGTGCAACCCTCGAGTTGCAGTCTTGTCTGGAGAAACGGTTTTTGATAATGGCTGTAGAATAGCCTCAATCCGGTCGATAACAAAGTGGTCTTCTTTGTCAAAGTCTTGCGAGCCAAATGGGCCGAGTCTATTCATAATGATTGTCATTACCGTAGCAAAGGCTTGGAAATGAAGAACTTTCGAGTCAAACCCGCTTTCAGTGGTGCGCCGGAGATTGTCATAGCAACTGATGCAGTGGCGGCAGGCTTGGAGACAGGCTTTCCGATTATATTCATAGGAGTTATCAGTACCTGACGCTAGTAGGAGAGGCAAGTGTAGCCACACCATGAGCTGGTAGTACCATAGCCGATAGTGAAGCTCTAGGAAACAATTGGACCGCTTGATAGACTTGCCAGGCGGAATATTGTCGGGTGACTCCAAAGGAGGGGGCGTGAACGATTGAAGTTCCGCATCGATGATTTGTGTCATCTGTATCATGGCCGGAGTAACTTCTGTAAAGATCTGATTACGGTCAATGATCAATCCAGCTATCCGAGCAAGCGGGTTCAGAGCGGATGCATTGTGAACGGGTAAATCTTGGGGGTCACTTGGGTTGGATTGATATAGCTCCATGCACCCCAAGGACCAGTGAGAAATGCCTGTCAATCATCAGGATGTGTCCCCAGACGGACCTAGCCCGATTTTGAAATTCGGCGCTTCTATTGCTAGCTGGTTCAGCACGGTGAAACCCGATTACCTGGGCGATATCTGCGGCCCGACGAGTAGAAAGCCATGCACTTCGTAGCTTCTCGTCATTGCTAAAAAGCAACCCTTGTGAAATCAAGCACTCGAGCCCGTCAAGACAACTGACGATGGAGTCATCAGCGCAGACAAACGTGGAAACACGGGTGATGCATTCTTCAACCAAGACCGATGGTAGGCAAGAAAGCCCGAGGGAGGACAAATCACACTCTGAAGGCAGTTGTTGGAGACACAGTGCAATCCACAGAATGGCCTTACCGACTACAGCCGGGTGGCTGGTTTGCAGTGTTTCCACCGAGGACGAAAGCAATGATTGATCGTAGTCTTCGAAGAACTGCACGCGCATAAGCCACCAGCTACTGCTAGCCTCCGATATAATTTTCAATGTCTCCTTAGAGGGTATCATGGCTATCAGATCGCGGCGCAGTCTCTCCCAGTCCCGGTTGATTGTGGCATATGATGCAAGATCGGGCGCAGGGGGATCTGATTGTTCGAAACCTAGCTATTCACGAGTAAGCGCGAGCTAGAGGGATTACAGACTCCGATGCGAGTTGTCGCACTAACCGCTTGGTTGGTTGGGGTCACGGTCGGGGGGCTCGATCCAGGGCTGGTTTCCACCCAATCTATGAATGATTTCGAGTCCCCATGTTGACTACTCCCATTCCCATTACCGTCGACTCGTATCAGAAGTTTCTCTAACAGGGTCTCCACCCGAGCCATCCGTTCGTTCAGATATGTGCGGTCCGAATCACGGGGATTCTCAGGTTCCAGGAATTCTTGGCTGCGACATGGAAGTCCCCGAGCAAGACATTGTCTGCAGCTTTGGTCGCTATCGGACGCAAAATCACAGCGGACTTTGCGATGTTTGCCTGCATAAGAAAAAAAATATCATTAGATATAAATCATTTCGAGTAAGGGGGTCCTGTACATTGCCAGCAACTGCGGGTCCCCTTTCGGATCTTCTTCCGAGGCTGATCACCCGCCTGTGGATGGATCGAGCTCATCTTGGTGCGGAAAAGATCTATTCAGATAGAGCACGAGTGTCAGTGTAAGAATCTGAATTGAAATTATATCACATAAGTTGTTCAGTTGATATTGAAATATCAGGGAAACTGGGGTGTTCATGTGGCGAACCGTCAAACAAAGCCCCAAACTTGTTCGAGTTGGCGCTATCTGACTGCTTCTACAAATTATGAGATGCAATAAATGCAATGTCTTCATGTTTCATTCCATGTCGTCTTTCATCGCGAGGTCTGGCTCAACCATGATGCCATCGCCTTGAACTGCAAACCAGGGGGTATCCTTAAAGCGAAGTCCGTGATTGGCTCGACGTGGAATTCTCGCGGCACAATACTAATGCTCACGTCGGGGAGTTCGGCCTGGGAATGATAAACTGTTAGATTAAATACGAAGCTTGTGGATATCATCTAACCTTCATCTTCTCGGCCGTCTGCCTAATTGGATCCAACCGGACTTCGTCTCCTCCCGCGCCAACAAAGATTCTTGAAACAGGAAGATCTCTCCACCAGCCCCCTGGGGCTTTGACGGGGCAGTTGTACTCATCTTCCACTATCTGCCCCAGAAATATTTGTGCCCAACTATTCAAAGTCTTAGCCGAAATAACATCTCGATCTGAATTTTCGCTGGAGCTCGCATGATCAGTTCTGAAGTCAACCCAAGGGGACAACAACATCATTCCTCCCAGTGGTTCATCCACTGAAATTTTTGGCACGATCTCTTGGGGATGTGGATGAGCAAGATGTGATAGGAGCGCAAGTGCAAGATGAGCGCCCGCCGAGTCACCGTGAAGAACAATGTCTGACGGTCGTTTTCCCAGTGTCTGGATGGCGTACCGTAGAATGGCAACGGCCTGTTGCAACGGACGAGGCCATCGGGCGTGAGGGACAAGTTCATATGCAACTAATAACACGCCAATACTTCCCCCATGTTGTTTTATGTCGGCAGAGAGAGCCTCGAGATAACTGAAGTGGCCCGGGAGGGCGGGGACGCAGTAGCCGCCACCAGGGAAGTAGATGATCAACTTTTCGGCAACAGGGTTTCCTAGCCAGAAAGCCGTTGTACCTTCGGGGAGAACGAGTACGTTAGGAGGGGCATTTTGCTGTTTCATGTGGGCTTCGTAACTTTTTTGAGCTAAAGTGGGGGGAAGAATAAGTCTGCGAGGTGCTGTTAGACTCTTTTCTTTGTCGGACCAGTGGTTTTGTATATATTTGAGGATTATTTTGCTGTTTATACATATCTAAACTCACTGAAGCTGCTCCATAGATGCATTTTCAAAGAGGGCGCGCGTAAAAGTCAGTACAATATGCTTGTAGGCTGTAGCGCCTCCTTTTTGACCACGGAATGGAGCAATGATGACAGCCCATATAGCAATGGCAACTAAGTGTAATTTGAAATATATATTAGTTTCATTGACTTCATGGACCTCCCATTGGCTACTTACGGGTTTTGGCCACTGCAACCCCCAGACCCAATGGCAAGGGAGCCATGGGGCGCGAAGTTGCGTGAATTCTTTCAACTCAGTTGGAAACTGTTGGGCTCACAAAATACTGTAAGCTAGAAATCTAGAAATTTGAAAGAAAGAGATTCCGTTGGGTCTCATCTCGGTGCAGGGAGCTTTGAGTATAACGCTGGCAGATCCGCCGACTCGGCGGAACAAAGCCCCCTGCCTTAGACCAATCGGCCACTTTTTATTCTGAAATGCACTAGATGTGCAAAATGAAAGAGAAATTAACACAGAAATTAGAACAGTCGGAGACTTATGGACTTAGTGAATTGAAGTTGTAGGAACTAAACGTGGAAGGGGTAGCCAACAGCTTTTCTTTTTTGACCATCGGCTGGTCTATTATTGTAGTCTTTAATATTAATATATACTGAGATGATCTTATCAGAAAAGCCAACAAGGTCATTTTAACCCTGGGAAAGGAGGAAATTGAAAATCACAAATACTTAATGTGGTCTATAATATTAAAAGATATCGATTTAGAAAAGCAGAAAAGCATTAGATACACATGGACTAGTGAATAAATACGAACAAATAACAAGTACAGTGAGATAGGTTAGCCCAACCCCAATCGTGCAACTCAGGGGGTCATCTTTTCTGAACTTTCTTCGCTCCAGTATCCGATTCCTCATCCGAGCCCAACTTGTGCTTCTTCGATTCGATATTTTTCCGGCGCGTTGACGACCTTGTCTCACGACTCGAGGACTCGCTACTAGAATCCCCGGAGACTTGGGCCAAAGTATCCTCAATGACAAACAGCATCTGTAAGCTCTCAAACGCATCATAGGTCCTAATTCGTGAAATTCGGCGAGTTCCACGTTGGCAGGACCCCAAAATCAAATATGCCACAGTGCGTCCAATTGTTGTCCCTAACAGCGCCTCATATTCCGAAGTTCCAGGTAGCCAATCATATATCTCTTCATCTGGCCACTCGAGGCCATTAGCGTCGGTGTAGAGGTCATCCATCACAAACTCACGGGTGTCCCTATTGCAAACGTCGAGTATATATACATACTTTAAGGTCTTAATCGGGAAGTGCTCCCGGTAGATTGCCTGGCAGACTTCTGATATGAAGAAACCCGGTGCTTTCTTAATCTCTTCAACGATTAAGACCCCACGCGCAATTTGCCCTTCCCAGGTATGAACGCTGGGGTAGTCAGCATCTGGTGGAGCGTCAGGTTGATCTATGGCAATCCTTGCCCACGCCCCGCCAGTTGGTCCCAACATTCCGAGTTCTTCAAAGTCGTTTTCACACTGGATGGGCATATAAGGATCCGTGTCCATATCTATCTCTAGTATCTTGGACTTCTTGACGTCTTTGAATCTCAGCGTACAAGGTTGAATTGGACATGCTGGCACAGCCGGGTCAGATGCTGGACGTTCGATCCATTGCTGTAGTGTCCGGCCAGCAATTTGTCGCCTGCCGTATTTGAGAGCGGTGGGGGGTAATGCTCCAGCCATGTTGTCAACTTTGAATTTATATTGGTATGAATCTTGCTGTAAAGAGGGTGAGATGAATCCAAGTCCCATAAGGGGAATTGTTGATTTCTCGGTGTCAAAGCCCATTGATCAAGGCGAGATCGATGGACAGCTAAGTACTTATAGGCTCTGCGCTTCGAACTTGACTTTGGCATTTTCAAAGAGTGCCATCAATAGACAATGGACAAAGAGACGGACTTGAAAGCATCGTCTAAATCAAAGGGCTAAATTTAAACCATGCAGTGATTTGGGATATATAGCTGTTTGATGGACTCGAGGGTAGACATTTGATCATAAATAGTAACATGTCCATACTTTGAAAGGTTGAGACAATGAACATTCCATCGTCTTTGACATTTCGTAAGCCATGTGGATGGATATCTATGGTTTCTATATTTGACAATAAAGAGTCGACATGGTAAGTGATGCTAAGGTGAGATATTAGAACAATGAAAGCTAACGCCACACCGTTGGCTCACAAATGTGATATGTAGAATTCACTCGAGAATTTTGAATAATTTTCTCTGTATAGATCATGATATTATTAGATATCATATCTTTTTTTTTGTCTCGGCCCCGGGTTATCCCGTTTGGCAGACGTTTACCACCCCCCGCATCCTAAGGTCTGATACTAGTAGTCAATTCTTTGTCCATTTTGTCTTCCGGCTACTATACAACAATGATTCTATATCACAGAGCACTATGGCCAATATCATAGAAAACATTGGACATCTGGATCTCCGGGGCCCATTTTCATTCCTTTCCTGCGGAGCAGAAGACGATGGACAGTTCAATCGCTTACAGGTACTTTTTTTCGGATACCGTCGGAGATGTAGAAGCTAGGCTAGCGCCTTATAGCTCTTCGGTACTCCATAGGAAGCTATGGGAAATGGTTCACGTGTCTCAACAACAGTTAATAAATAAAACGTCATTCCACCCTATCTCTCATCCATCCCACGTGCAATCGTCCGCCAAGGCCATCAATCTTGGCGGACAACGGGGTTGGCTGGACCTGGCTTGGCATTTTATTTCCTTGACTTGGCAAGGAGGTTCAAGCTTCCCAGGTAAACCCCAGGATTACACACGTGCAAATCTTGCCTATCTCCTATTCGTTCTTACAAAAAAGTCGTACTATGTAGCGATATCATTTTCAGAAGAGACTGGGATACTTCGGAGATTTGTATCGCTATATCACTATAGATTGTCTTAGAGGCTCTTGGCACCTCGCTTGCAATTAGCTGCGAAGCTCGTTGTACTTAATGCAAGTACTTTCTCTCTAAATGTAACTTGGTTTCATCACAATCAGCTTCTCTATCAAGATGCGCGCTTCTGCAATCTCCGCGCTAGCATGCTTTGTCGCGTTCACGGCAGCCCAGACCTTCCAACGGTTGGGTGGTTGCCCTGACTTGGGATGTATCTTCCCGCCGGATCAGTATGTAATGTTTCAATTGCACCTAGTTTCTAGCTACTAATAACCAATTGCAGGGTTGACTTCCTAGCGGGTCAATTCTTCGACATCCGCCTCGAAGTACACTCCCCTGTCAATGGTTCTGAAGCTCGCATTGGAGAGCCGGACGAAAACTTTAAGTTCACCATCGCCAAGAAGGGGGGCAAGGGCAATGCTCCTGTCTCTGCAACGGAATACTTCAAGATTGATGAACCTGAGCTCGAGAAGTGGGACTTCTCATGGTTTGAAGGTACTATTCTCCCATCGTTTCGTCCATGAGAAACACATAAACTAACAGAAACAGATCGCTTCGCCCAGGACGCAGAAACGCCTTCCCTTGTCAATGTGACCTCGAAGATCTATAGAAGAATTGCCCTATATGAGCCCGGCGAGTACGAGGTTACTCTGACCTATTACGGGGAACAAAAGACAGTCGCCAACTGGTTTGTTCGTGATCTCCCTACCAAGCGTCGCGCGAAGAACGTCGTCATGTTCATCGGAGACGGCATGACAACAAATATGATCACTGCAGCACGTCTCATTGCCCACCGCAGCATTAACGGCAAATACATGACAAAGATGGCATTGGACAAGTTCCCTGTGCTGGGTCACCAGATGACACACTCCATGGACTCGTTCATTACCGATTCGGCCAACTCTGCAACTGCCCTTTACACCGGCCACAAGACTACCGTCAATGCTTTGGGTGTCTATGTAGACTCCTCCAGCGATGCCTTTGATGACCCGAAATTCGAGACAATCGCCGAAATCTTCCGCCGCAAGAACAAGAACGCCGGTGTTGGCATTGTGTCAACTGCGTTTTTGGCAGATGCTACCCCTGCCGGTTTGGCCGCCCACACCAGTGACCGCGGCGAATACGACCATGTCATCGGTTCATACTACGCAGGTGGTCTGACCGATTATGAGTGGACAAACTGGGATGGCCCCGATGTTCTCCTTGGCGCTGGTGCGGAGGACTTCCTTGAGAGCGAAGAGACCCGTGATTACTACAAGCTCTTCGCTGAGAAGGGTTACAACGTGGCCTGGAACAACACCGCGCTGCACAGTGCCTCGAACAAGGAGAAGTTGCTGGGTGTTTTCCAGAAATCCAACCTCGCTACTTGGCTTGATCGCAACGTCTACCAGTCCAACCTTTACAACCAGAGCAACTACCCCGATGGCTCAGGCCGTGACGCAGACGATCTGCCCGGACTCAAAGACATGACCCTCAAGGCTATCGACGTGCTAGACAAGCGACACCGCAAGGACGGCTGGTTCCTGATGTCCGAGGCCGCCAGCATTGACAAGCAGATGCACACTCTGGACTACGACCGATCCCTTGGCGAGCTTCTCGAACTCGACGATACCGTACGCGCAACAATCGAGAAACTCGAGAAGTTGGGTCAGCTCGAAGACACCCTCATCATCGTGACAGCCGATCACGGCCACGGCTTCGACGTTACCGGCTCCGTTGACACCAAGTACATGGACGCACAGGAAGACGACCGCAGCAAGCGCAATGCAGTCGGATACTATGAAAACTCCGGCTTGTCGCAATACACCGTTGCCGGATCCAACGCCTTGCGGTACTCCGAAGGTGTCCACTTCCCGGCCCAATGGGATCCTAGATACACCCTGCACTCGGGTGTTGGTGCCTTCCCTGACCACCGGGAGAATTATCGGGTTCATGGCGAGGGTCCCCGCACACCTGCCGTGAAGGACACAAAGCATGGCTATGTCGCTAACTACAAGGATGCGGTCAGTGGGTTCATGGTCAATGGAACCATCCCCGTTGATGCGGCGCAGGGTGTCCACTCGTTGACCGATGTGCCGGTCTTTGCCCGCGGCCCGTGTCAGGAGCTGTTTGGAGGTGTGTATAGCTCGATTGACATCTTCTTCAACATGGCTGAATGCCTGGGTTTGTCGGAGACGAAGGGACATGGCAAGCCTGGAAAGCCCGGAAAGCCTGGACATTAGTACCATTATGGTGATGGGACAATCTTGGAAACTCAGCCAAATAATTAAAGACCATGTCTTATAGCTCAATTTGTACAAGAATATGAAAGCATACTGAGAATTGATGTAATTTCAAGTAATATACATTTAAATAGCAACACCCACATGGAAGGGTTAATGTGTGTAAAGCTAAACACCAGTCTATTTACAATGGCCCAGCCAATTGATGCAATATATCAGTCAACACTTACCAAATCTATAAAGCAACCGTTCACAACACCGGGGACATAATATATGTTCTCCATAATAACCGAGTCTAGGTGGCGTTGTTGGCACAGGTCCAGCTGGCCTTGGACGAGCTCTCGTTGATAGCCACGCCCGAGACATAGAGTCCCAATCCACACTAGTTTTGTCAGTAAGGAATTCGCAATCACACAGATAGACATAACATACAATAGCACAAGCAATTGCAAGAATGATCAAGTTGAGAATAGTCAGGGCGATCTTTTTAGTGGACGAAAACCACTGTCCCTTGTTCATCATGAACCAGAAAATGGCAGGTAGGCCGTCTATATTCTCAGTCAGCGATTCATTCCTCATCAACGTTTTCCAAGGTCTCAAGTCACTTACAGCTAAACCAGCTTCCAAATAGGGCACTCTGCACAACAAATTAGTAGACGCACAGTAATAAATACTTGGAGAACATACAATCAGACTCAACAACTCGTTGAACACCGGAATCGACTCTGCGATGATCCACGCAACAGTCCACGTAGTCAGGCCGATCGCAACCCATGTACCCGTGGCCAAAAGACTCTTCTGGTGCATGTGGTGCGAGCGCTCGCCGCGGAAGATTCGAACATAGATATACTTGCAAGCAACGTGGCCGAAAATAACACCGGCAATAATGACCTATCAAAAATTAGAACAGATTCCCAAATAAACCGCAAGATACAAATAACGTACCGTTGGGATGGCCAGGCCGTAGGCAACTTTCTTCATCATAGGTCCAGCCGACGATAGAGCCGGAGACGAGACACCCGGGCCTGCATAGCAGTAGATGACCATGGCGGTCACGATGTACATAGTAGTATCGACAATCTGGAGCATGGCAAGGGCTTTGGGGAAGTCGCGGGGATCCTGCATTTCCGACATGATACCGAAGAAAGAAACGTGGGCGATGAAGGCGAAGACGATGTTGGTGACGGCCAAGAAACCTTCCTGGAAGGTCGGGGTGGTGGTAATATCGTTCTGGACATCATCGGGGGCCTGGACAGCGATGGAAACCATCGTGACGATAGTGGCGATCAGGATGCTGATGGCGGAGATAATGGACATCCAAAAGACCTTCTCTGCTGTGCGAGGAAGGGCGGCAATACAGCTGACGACTAAGCCGATAACTCCAAAGACAATAGTGCAGGTACCGTGGTTCGTGATAGTGTTGAACAACACGGAGAAAGTGAGAATATGACTGGCCATCAGGAAGATGATGAACAGCAGTTGGCCGACGAAGGCAATCTCGCGTCCGATGGGGCCTAGAAGAAGCTCGCCAGCATCACCCATGCTGTGGACCTGGGGATAACGCTTCTTGAACTGGCCCATGGTGTATCCAGTGTACCATGAGATACCGGACAGAAACATAATAATGACAAATGCCCTGGGAGACGGTCAGCTTTCTTCCTGGGTGGTAGAGTCAGAGATTTTCTTACGGGACAATTCCGAGGGTTGCTACTGCCGACGGAAGAGATAGAATACCAAGCGAGATGTTTTCAGCGACCATCACTAGATGAACAATATTAGAGAATGGTTCCTGTTTCGACTGGAGTTAATAATGGGCTCTCACGCATTCCAGCTTGCCTATATCAACGTCAGAACTGTGCTCTTTGATGCAATGAAAACGGTAAACCGAATGAGATACTCACCACCATGGCATGATACGATACTTTACTTCCCCAGATTCTTCATTTCCAAAGGGATCATCCGTGGGGTCTACCGGGTATGCCTTCTTCTCCATGTCGGTTGAGTCATTGTATACTTGATCCTGAATAGGACGGGGTGTCTCTTGGACGCTCATGTTGAATGGTATGGAGATGTGAAGAAAGGAAAAAAGTCCAGGGCGAGAAGAAAAGGTACCGAAAATCGCTTGTGGAGGCCCAAAAAGAACGGTTGGTCCAGAATTTTTTCTTGGCGTGGGCGATTAAAGTTAGAATATTCTACCAGATATTGCCGTGTACTGTTTGAGACTGTGGAGAGACCAACCGTTCTGTTATCCCAACTCAAGTATTTGGGGGCCGGGGTAAAATGCCAATGAGATTACAACTAAGACGCCGAAAAAGTGCGTCCATGGGGTTTGGCCAGCGACACCGGGGATTACATAAACATATCTTCACCGGCGCGACTAGAGTTGTGGGGTATTTCGGTGTCGGGTGAGCCAACCCCCGTACGTTTGAATCTTCGAAGATGGTTGTTCTGCACTCCGGCGACAGATTCTACCGGCCCGGCGCACCCGGCCCGGCGTGACCCCAGGTAGGCCCCAACATTGTCTCCAGATAGTGTTTAGATAGTTTTAGTCAAGGTTTTATGTACTGTCCATGGACTGGGTTTACCCCAAATTTCAACCCCAGATTATAAAAATTGCCCCTATAAGAAAGTGCTTTCTCATAGTTGAAAAATTTAAAGTAATATTATGCATGATCCTGAGAAATTAGGGTCTGGCTGTGGCGCATTTTAGCTTTATCGCTAGAATTTTCTCGAAGTTCCCGTATCAACCTTGGAAACCTTGGGGTCCGACCTCGGGACTCGGGAGACTCAGCCACCTTGACATTTCCAGAACACCCAACCTTGGAAGGTCCTAGTCCTGTTTCAGTGAATGGGGTAGGAATATCCATTTTCTCAGTTAGGTTTGCGGGGTGTGAAAATGACGTTTAGCGTATAAGTACGCTCTTCATATTACAATTTTAGAAAATAGGCATGTCCATGACATATTTTGATCTCGCCAAGCTGGGAAACGTATATGAGGCGCAACATAAGAATGTTGAGGAGCGCCACCGTGTTTGCCGCGTTTGCTTGGCGCTTGTCCTTCCTGAACCGAGGCATCAGTGCGATGTAACCTTGCTTAGTACCTGGTACCTGGTAGTATCTTACAACACTTGAGAATCCTACCGAGTTCGCAGTAATTAACAAGACTGGGGATGCCCTCAACGCTAACCCTAATCCGACATTCTTGCATGCCAAGTATTTTGAACTCCTGCGGAATCGAGATTAGCGTCTTCTATGCAGGATGCCATTCCAATTTAGACTGCGTTCAAACTGCTTCAACCGACATGATCTGATTCTTTTTTATTCCCCTACATATTCATGTCCAACGTATGAGGGATTTCCTATATCTACCGAAGAAGTCCATCAGTATGCGCATCTTTGCCGGTATGGAAACATTAGCCAGTTTTAGGTACGGTACTGTACTTCTATAGTATCATTTATCTTTGCAAGAAATTCTTCATCTTATACATGATTACATGATACATGCTTAGTAGTTTCATATCTACTTCTCCAGTACTGCATACATATATAACCGTTAGTTAACTCCAAGTTTGGATTCAGCTCCTTTCTTGAACAAATTTCTATTACTAGATCCGATATCTGTAACAAAAACAATGATTAAATAGCAGTAAGTTCCAACCCAAAATCACTCCAAGCAGCCGTTCAACTGGACCAGACTCTTTGGTATGTAAAATGATAAACTCTACCTCGGGAAACTGGTTGAGAAGAGAGATACGCTTGTTCTCGCCAACTACTTTGGATTCGTGTTTCTGCACCAGATACACGATATTATGGGACCATGGGAATTTATTCTTTTGCACAGTTACATACACATAGTATACTGTGTATAGTGAGAGACTCACAGCAATATTCAAGATGCCGAGGTAATAATGTTGGTGGCCTCAGGCCACATTGCTTACAGTTTCAACACGTGATGTACATTTTTCCAATGCAAGTGCGACCGGGGCGGGTGACCTAATTATCCGGGTTATCGAATTAAAAGAGTCCGGCGGCAAATCAGGGGCCGATGGGCTAAACAGTAGGGAGTCAACTTCAGCAGGTGCCAAGACGCTTCGTTTGTACGAATAGCTTCAGTTGGAATGAAGCTCCTGCATACAATGTTGTAGTCACTACGTAACTAGTTAGATTGCTTCAGACTCATTGAATCTCGATTGATTGATTGCAACCATAGATACAAAAGCCAATCGAATTTACTCGAATCGAAGTCAATCCTCTACTCAATTACCCCACGGATGGCGAAAATCGAAGTTGTCTACCTGCACAGCCTGTATGAATGATATTTTTATCGTAAGGCCAGCCAGACCTTCCGAGCTCAAGACGACTATCTATCTGGCTTAGAGCTATATTGACGAGGGCTACACTACGAGTCTCCAACCACAACGATTGGAGTAGTGTCAATGGTACACTAGAATTTACACACATATATCATCAGCCCAAAAGCCCAGCCCCAGCTTCATAAATTCGCCTCGTTTCGATTGAAGTACAAAGTGCACCAAGTAATGTCTTGCCTCGGTTCTGGGCTGCTCTCAGCCCCCTCACCAAGCAACGCTGTCCCCTGCACCATTTTGGGTGCAGTAATAGTGTAGCTCATCGCCTCCGATGTGGTTTCCCTGGGACTCGCAATAGTATAACAGGTCCTTCTCATTCTTAAGCGTACAATCAGGGCATTGATCCCATTGCTTGCTACCGGTGTTTCGGTTCTTATAGGCACCACATGCCTTTTCAGTCGCAGCTCTATTGTAAACCTCCTATAATGCAGTTAGAATTAAAAACTTTCCGCCAGTGATACAAGTTTCCAAATTGTACTTACCACTCCTTTGCCAGGGGTATCGATGCAAACACCTTGAGTATGTAGTTCTGCGAAAGCACTACCAGGAATCAGTGCCTATATCAAACATGTCAATTTGGAGAAGATCTTACCCAGCAGCAAGAGCTGCGACAATAATTGAAATGGACTTCATCGTTGTGAGAATGTTATGAGAGGTGATTATCAAGCTGGCTCCTGAGAATTGGGCGGTATGCGTAAATTTAAATGCTTGAACTGCTAGAGAAGGGGTACTTTAAAAAGGAGACAAAAGCCTATGTACTTCTAAAGTGGTTTTGCCCATCTGTCAGCACTATAGCTCATACAGATGCCCTTTCTTGAAATGAGACAACCAAGGCAAAAATTCCGAAGAATCTCCATCGGAACGATGATCTTTGGTCTTCATTTCCTCAATTGTATATCCCCGACGTTTCATGACAACCTTGTCATCCCGTAAGGTTCCTTGAGGTGGGCTATGCCTTTAGAGCTGATTTGCAAGAGCTTATCTACACCTGGGCATATATATTGAGGACAGGGAACTTGATTACGTGTGATCCGAATCTTGTTAGGGTTCTCGGTGCTATACTCTCATCATTGGTCCTAATCTCCATTTCAAGTAAAATATACTCGCAACATGGATTTTACTTACACTCACTTCATAAAGACATTCATAATTGGAGACTCAAGGAGCGTGTCCACTACTTCGGATGAACTAGGTTTGGCCCCCAAGGCGTGTTACAGTATCTGGGACACGCCACACAGCCGTTACGCCCCCCGGGCTATGATCTACTAGAAGTTAAATTGATTAGCTTGCAATCAGCGATTGATATCTGCGGTAGATCCCCGGCTATACCTCGGAAGTATAGTGAAACACGGGTTGCCTGGATATCCCGAGCTTCTATACTTCTGGTAGATCATTTCTAGTAATATAGCTCCAGCGTCCATATCGTGAGTAGTTCGACAAAAGATATCCCCTGAATCTAAATAGGATCTCCTTTCCGTCGATTTTTGGGATATCACTTTTCTACTTCTTCTTGCCACATTCCTCCTTGGTACACATCATGAAGACCAGCATTTTCCTACTTGCGTCACTCTGTGCCAACAGTGCACTCGTTTCTGCCCTGCCGGCCGATACAGCTCTTCTTGTTCTTCACGATGGGACCACAAAGACTATCGATAAGAAAGACCTAGGTGCCAATCTACCTGGAGTCTCTCTGTCCCCGCCTACCAATTCCGTCCCGAAGTACTTGCAGACTGGATCTAACGATTCCACCCCCTCAAACCGTCTGAGCAAGCGCTCCGGTGCCCAATTCGTCATTCCTCTTCCCGATCAGAAATTCCTCGGCTGGGACATCCCAATGTCTACCATCGTGCATGCCAACGAAGCCGATGCCACCGCTTCCATGGCCCAAGGCCAGTCCATCGCAAACAGCATCTCGGTCAGCACCTCGTTTACAGCCACCGTGGAAAAGTTCCTGCAAATCGGTACCACCATCAACTACCAGTTCACTGAAACGGCTACTCTCACCGGCACGGTTTCCATGACAATCCCGAAGAACAAATGGGGTGCCATTATCAGCAATCCCTTGACCTATCGCAAAAGCGGATATGTATTCAGTGGACGGCCCGGAAGTGGACAGTACGAACACTTCCAGGCGGATTCTTTTACCCAGGATACTTATCGCTATGGAGAGAACTCCTTGTCCTGGGTGAAGGGTGTTGTTACAACTTGCTTGGGTGACTCTTACCCTCTGAAGCGCTGCCTCGGAGATGGTGTATTGGAGTAAGCTTTCAACTTTTGTGACTTGCTCCGCATTTTCGGGGGTTGAATCATGGATATTGAACACACTTTCGTATCGCAATATGCCATCTTGGGTATAGGAAGATGATCTCATTGCAGAGGTTTTGATTTACCAAGTCCAGGATGTTTTAGAAGACTTTTGTTTATATGTTTCTCTTTGAAAAATAACAGTACAAGCTTCTTCATTTTCAATGTCTGGTGCATTTCGCATGCATATTGGTGACAAATAAAGCCTGTTCTTTACCTTCGAAATCCTGTAGTGTATTACAGCCTGTAGGCATTGCAAATAAATGCATTTGCTTTGTCTTGAAATGGAGGATTTATCTCCACGATAGCGAAGATGTTTATATTTGTCAGGAGCGATGTCGCTCATGTGTCTCGCCCCCCAACCGTGTGGGTGTCATCGGGTGAGCTCCCGGTGTGTATGCGAGACGGACTGGGATATCGAAGAGGGCTAGTAGTGGAGTTGGTGTAGATATCGACCCATGATGAACTTTGTACGTGTTCAACTTCTGGGAAGTGAGGGTGACTACGATAGAAAAAATTCCTTGGAAGGTGCGTTAGGTTGGTTTAGGCTTGGAAGGTGGGAGTCAGATGATCCCGATTATACACCCAGGCATATGCATGTGGACATAAAAATGGCCTTGCCATACTTTTCAGTGGTCTTTTTGAAGTTTGCTATTCTGACTCTCTACAGATATATACACGGATTGACCTGATACCCCATCAATACTGCATGCGAAGACACTTAAACTCGATTTATACCAGGCAAAGATGCAACTTCAATTGAGACCATTACCAATCATCGTCTATCAAGGCCAAAGTCCTAATCATCTCATTCGTTAAAATCATCACCCCCTCGTCACCCCCAATCCCAGGCTTGGATAACAAAAACTGCGGTTGCGTTGCCAGAGCCACCTGGGAAGTAATCCGCGCCGAAATGTCAGTTTCATTTGCAGATCCTCCCAAGCAACACCCGATGTTTTCTTTGACACAGTACATGACCGCATCAATGGAGTTATGAAGACTGCCCAGATCAGGCGTTTTCACCTGCACATAATCCACGGCATCGGCATTAGCGAAGTCCCGAATATCGTCCAGCGTGTTGCACCATTCGTCTGCGACAATTCCCACATTGATCCTGCGAGAGATGAGGACCTTTTTGAGCTGGTGCAGACGTCGAATTTGAGATTCTTTGCTGGAAGAAACAATCGGAGATTCAATCAACACATCATATGGACGAGCTACCTGCTCGATCCTTTCTAAAAATGCCGGTATTTCTGCGTCTGGAAAGGCATCGCCAATTGTTCCATAAACGTCAAAATGAAGCCGCGGACGATATCCAGGGTCTCCTCGCTCCTGGATACGTCGAGAGACAGACTGCACATAGTCGAGCATGGCCTCGCCTCTGGGGCCGATGTCGCTCACGTGGACAAATGACGCATGCGGAAGAAGCGCCACTTTTTTCATGATCATCCTGTCCAGTTGGAGATGATCGTTTCGGTGGCAGGAGGCGAGAATACCTATCGGCCGATCACTGATACTCGTCTTCCACTCGTGGGAAACGACCTCGGTTATGGTACACCTATTGGCGAGAGCAGTCGCAGACAGGAGAGCTTGACTGATTCCGTAACGAACAGCGGCGTGGAGTCTCTTATTGCCCAGTTCTGGCCACGGTTGATCGATTTTGATGGCATTTGAGCGGAACGTCGACAAATCACATTCGAGAAGCCATGGTCGTACAACTTTGTTTAACAACGGCAGATGTTCTTTGGGGATGAATAGAGGGTCCCGCGATGCAGTCCCAGAGAAGATAACATCGACACACTCGCCAATGGCAACAGTTCCATTTTCGAGACGAAGTAGAATCGAGATCACCTCGCCGGCCTGGACAACTTTTTCAAATCCTGGTGTCACTGGTTTGATGTCATCGGCCAGTGGATCATATTTGGGGCTCTGCTTCACTGCTTGCAGGTCCTTGTGGAAATATCCAGACAGCCCGCAAACAAAGCGAACATCGGTAGGTTGGAGCTTGTCAAGATGCATTTTCGAATAATTCCCTGAAAGATTTTTATTGTACTTCCTAAGGGCTTGATTTCCCTTTATGGTAACCCAGTGAGTAGTGTACCGACTGGCTGGGTATAGATCGCCGGTCTGTGAAAAGATCGGCGATCTCTTCATTTTCAAGGTTTCGCCAGAAATATTTCACATTGTTGCCCTCCCCGTCATTATGGTTTAGCCGCCCCTATTGAGTTCATACGAGAGAAGAAACTCCAGGAAGCATGACGATCGACTCATTTACAGGGGCTGGTGGAGAGCTGAAAATTACTGAGCACCCCATCAGCCTGCATATCTGCGTCATATGTGCCCATAAATGGCTCCATAGTTCTGCTCGATTAAACAAACTACAATATAGACGTCCCACTACGGAGCACTCCATACAAGAGAAACACAACACTCGCAACTAAGCTTTATTGGTAGAAGATCTTCGCCTTGTAACCTCCCACCGAAATAGTTTGATCGTTGTCCTCCGGTGAGCGGGTCCAGTTCTTCTTGATCCTAGATCGAATCCACTCCCCCACCTCGAGATTCGGCTCGTCACTTTTCTTCTCATCCTCGTCACCTTTCAGTCCCAGCCTGCGCAGAAGTGGACTCTCCATTGTCTTCAGATCCATGCTGTCAGTCGGCCGAGCAAAGTATAACAGCCCGAACCTATCAACATGTCTCTGATCCTCTGGCGGCACGACAACACGGTGGATACTGCTTTGCAAGTATCCATTGGTCCAAAATTGTAGACAATCGGCAGTGTTGACGACAATGCTTCCGGGATGCGGCTTGACGTATTTCCAGTTCCCATCGGGCGTCTTCACCTGAAGTCCTGCAATAGGCTGCGAGAAGACAAAAGTTAGACTACCAAAGTCTGTATGGCCACGCAGGTAGAGCTCCTGGAATTTCGAGTTTTCATCCGTGCTACGATTGCGGTAGCGCATGTACCGTAAGAAGGATTCGCTGTCATCCTCGTATGCATGGCGGCTGGTCAAGGTATCTTCGGGTAACTCCAGTATGATAGCAACGAGCTGGAGTAATTTGAAAGCGACATTCTCGTGAATATGACGGTGGAAGACTTCGATCTCGGCATAATACTGTTGAACGATTTGCGGATGTTCTCGCTTGTATTTGTCGGTGAATTTGAAGACGTTGTAGAATTCGACATTATCGTAAAGACCGGGAAGAATCTCAATGGATCCTAGGGGTCGGTAGCCGTTGTAACTACCACCCTCGAGGTCTGCACGGTGCTTCAGCTTCCCTTCTTCCGGGAGTTCAAGGATTTTGCGCCCGATGGCAAATTGGCGATTGACTTGCTCAGGCGTCAATCCAACGTTTGAGATGTAGAAAAAGCCAATCTCTTGGATAGCCTTATTCAGTTGATTGGCTAGCTTCGTCTTTCCTCCAGGAACATCGAATTGAGAAAGGTCAAGGGTGACTAGGTCCGCCCAGTCCACTAGAGCATGTTAGAATCAACACGATGATGCCATTACTGGCAAACTCACAATCGTATTTGGTTGGCCCGACGGGGTCCTCTCTGTGTAGATCTGATGAATCCATTGCTGGCTGTGAGACAGAAGTCAGATCCTTGCAACCGTCCGAGAATTTGCTAGGTTATGGTCTGTGGGGTGGGACGCTCAATAAGTACACAGCCTTCAATATTGATCGTAACACCTAGCCTCTCGCGTGGTATGCATCGATTCTCGCGAAAGAAAACACGACCACGAGAGGAAACTGTGACAAATTGAGATCAGCATTGCGGAGCTGAGATTCACAAATTCTAGCCCAAGCAAGCAAAAGGGACGCTAATGCATGCAGGATGCTTTAAGGTGGATATCTGAGATTGTGACGATGCGAATCTATACTATATCGGCCCAGATCTGCCTAGATCGGCGAAGCAGGCCGTCATGAAACCCCACAGTTATATGGCCACTGAAGCCCAGGAACATCAGACTCAGATGGGATACTGCATGATGTCATATCACTTATTTTGAAAATCAAAGCTGAAAAGAGAAAAGGTGTTGCGTGAGGGGCAGTTTTGGACCCTGCTCGTTCTTCCACTTGTGCATCTCAAAGTCCAGTATTGGACTTCTGAATCAATGGCAGACACATTCAAGAAATACATCCTACCGGAAAGAAAAGGATTTCATTGTTTGACACTCCATGATGTGCCCAAGCCACGTCCACAATATGGCCAAATCTTGATTCGCATCAGGGCTGTTTCGCTGAACTGGAGAGACTGCGCGATTGCCAAGGGAATTTATGCATATCCCGGTGAATCGTGTGACGTGCCCGGTAGTGATGGTGCAGGTACTTCCCATATCACCACGCTGTATATTTGAAGGATTGTTGACAAGTGCCAAGGAATCATTGAGGAAATCGGCGAAGGTGTAACTGAGTGGAAATCTGGCGATCGCGTGGTGGCAAACTTCATCCAAGACCATCTAGCAGGCAGACTAGCCCCTGAAGCTGTCAAATCATGCCTTGCTGGCGGTAGACCCGGCCTGTTGGGTGAATATGTGATACTACCCCAATCGGGCGTTGTGAGGATTCCCGAATATCTTTCCTTTGAAGAAGCGGCCTGCCTACCGTGTGCTGGAGTCACGGCATGGAACGCACTATATGGCTCGGTGCCCATTCGACCGGGCGATGTTGTACTTCTGCAAGGAACGGGAGGAGTGGCCATGTTTGGACTCCAAATCGCCCGAGCAGCTGGTGCGGTGACTATTGTCACATCTTCCTCGGACGAGAAGCTGGCCAAGACAAAAGAGCTTGGCGCCACACATGGCATCAACTATCGTACATCGGACTGGGCGGCAGAGGTAAAAGCCGTTACGCATGGCCGAGGAGCAGATCATATCCTCGAAGTCGGAGGAATCGGGACCTTGCCGCAGTCCTTCCAAGCAGTTGCATGGAATGGATTAATTCATTCCATCGGTCATATCACCAACATGGTCGATGATCACAAAAATGGACATAGTGATGCGACATTTCTGACTATCGATCCGCCATACATACTCCGTCGGATCATTGTCGGGTCTCGAGAGCAATTCCAGGATTTGCTGGCCTGTTTCACTGCAAATTCCATTCACCCAATTATTAACAGGATTTTTGAATTTGAAAAGGCACAAGAAGCGTATGAGTATCTTTGGGGCTCATCACATATTGGCAAGGTTGTTATCCGCATACCATAATGAAAAGATTGAAATACATATCTCTTGCAATCTCCATATCCATATGTATATAATTGGCCATTAGTTAAGTGGCAAGCGGTGCACCAGAATGACCACAGTAGGTCCAACTAGGTCGACATCTTCGTCAGGCCTCTCCGATCATCACAGTACCGCTCATCCATTTGGAAGCACAATGATATGGGCTCGTACGTCTACTTTCTTTAACTCTATCGAGTCTAATCCTGGTTACTTGCGTGTTATAATTCCTTCCCGTACATAATCAAGTACATATGACCATAGGGTGTGGAAAACAGGGCTTCCCGTCCGCTCAGCCGTACTTAAGCCCATTATTCTGCACAGTCAATACTCTATGCGCCCCTAGTACCTAAGCGGCACTCCAGGGTGAGTGTGGGTGATATGGGCGAGAAGTCTTGAGGCTAGGGTCAGAGAGGTGAGAACGGGGTGACAATTCTCACCCTAAGAGTGATAGGGGCCAATCACTCCAAGCCTATGCCCGCTCCAAGAAGAATACATAATCTAAGCCCAACGGCCCTTTTGTTACTCTGCCCTGATTTTCTTTGATTTTCTTTACCACTCAAAATATGTTCTCTGAACAGAATATCCCCAAGCACTCCAGGAGCGTCTTACACGTGCCATATCACGTGGCTTCACACCAAGGCCCTCATCACAAGCACTAGGCTCCTTCATGAACGCTGCTGCGGCTGTTTGGATAGTCCCTGTGGGCAAATCGGCTTGCAAACACCGACTCAAAGGTGTTAGCGGTCGTTCTTCCCAAAACGCTTCGTTTAAGATTTTGGAGTCAGGCACCGATGACCCCCACTTTGGTAGAGAGTAAAGCTTGTTATGCTGAAAGGTATATTCGTTAACAGCGAACGGAATTAAAAGGGGAGTATGGAATGTACTAATCTGATCATCGTCGTTTCTCTCTTCAATTTGTTCACCAACAAAATTTCGACCGCGCACGTCGTAATCCTCAATGTATAGATAGCTCAAGGCGCATTCAACGGTTTCCTCATCGAATTCCGTCCAATCAATAGCCCCACTCGTACTATTCTTAATTCACTAGTCGTTGACACGAGCTTTCAATACCGGTGAGCCGCACGACAAAGGACTCTAGGGTAGACGTCCGCATAACCCATTTTAGGCCGAAGGTCTCGACCCAGAACCTAACCCAGACCTAACCTTGACAAGTCCCGCAGCACCTGGGCAATTTTGGTGCTATTATATAGTGCTATAGCACCGTCGCAGCACCAGTTTTAGTGCTACACTAGTATAATTCTGCTAAGAATTACCTAAAATGGATAGATAAAATGCCAACTTATTTTGATAAATTACTATTTTTTACTTATATATTAGTATTAGGAGGTAGTTATAGTCACTTACTATTAAGATTTATATTAACTCACGTTTAAAAAATAGATTAAAAGCTTAAGTACTATATCAATATAGATTTATAGTAAAATTAGCCTAAAATTGTAACGGATAAAGGTCCTTACAATCTGGAGACAATGATAGACGTCAGCTGACTTGTCACATTGACCTATATCCGTAGACCTATATAGTTTATAAAAGTCTACCCGAAACCTAACCTATTTGCGGGTTGGATTTTTTCGGGTTTACGGGTTTGCGGGTTTTGGCGCAGTCTAATAGTACTAGTCGCTGGCGAAATGTGTATCCGCCAGAGACTCATTGGCATTGTTTCCGGACCCCACCGGTAACTTACGATCTTCAGAAATATTATTCGACCAAAACAAGTGTTCCACGTAAGATCGTAGTATTTGCACTAAGCGATACCTACCGAGGATACTATACAGCACATTAATTCTCACCATAGGAGATAAATGAGCCCGAAGCATCAACCCAACTCGCCGATGTCATCGCCACATTCGTTGAATGACCAAAAACCGGTAAACCCCTTCCAATAAATCAGTCGGGAGCCTAGACCATGACATGACGCTTGCATAACTGAGGCGAGGTGCCATAGAATGCTTGGCACATTTTATCAATGGCCCGTTCGCAATGATTCAGAGTAATCTAAACCAAGTTCAAAGACCACAGAAGATACTTATGATAAAAGGCAGGGATTATTGCACATATGATTACTGAAAAGATAGCTAAAAATCATTGTCGGATACTAGGCATGTGAAACACTGGCTCTCAACAGATGGTATTTTACACGAACACACATGCGATCACTAGTTCATTTTGTTCAATAAAAGCTATTAACCACCACCCTGGACTGTCTGTGTAATTACGAGTGTAATTACGATAACTACATATATTGCTGAAATTGCTTCATCCAACTTCTGCCCGCCATACCTCAGCTACCGTTGATCGCTTCGTCATGATCCCTATCGTCGTGCCACCAGCACAGGTCAATCCAAATATGGCACCCGACTACGAGGTCAGCCTCCTGCTCGACCCGGACAAGGTCCTCACCGCTGCACACGAGCTAACGGACTCCATCCAATCGGCCTTTGATGTGAAACCGCCCGTCACCATAATAAATGTGCAGTTCCTTGACACGAATGATAAAGAGATTTATTCCTCTAACTGGAGCACTCGGATCCGCAAGTTTGAAAATGAGGGTAAACTCGAGCTAACGTATAAGAGGCGGTATACCATCACAAACAGCAACATTAACGACGCTCTTGATGTGGCTAACGAGGATGGTTTCAATGCTATCCACAAGAAATACGAGGCACAGGTCGAATGGGATTTCCAGATGAAAACACTTTCTATTAGCTGCAAGAAAAAAGGACTGGATGTTGGGATTGGCCATACGGACCTGCCGGTGGAAAGTGACTCGCGTCAGATGTTGATCGACGAAGCGCCGGAGAAGTTCGACAAATGGAAGCCTCACAAATCGCAGCCAAACAAATGGCATCCCAAAACCTGGGGTACCAGCGCCTTGAAGGAATCGCGCATTTTCGGTCCGGTCCTCATGAGTCGCTTCACAGGTTCGTGGAATGGGCTAAAGCTTTACCTCGAGGTCTGGCCGCTACGAAACTCCACGGGTACAGGCATTGAACACTTCGTTGAGGCTTCTTTCAAGACAGACTCTGAAACAACCGCTTCCGTTGAGCAGAGCAACCTGGTAGCCTTCTTGAAAAGTAAGAATTGGTTACTTCAACAGGACTCGTCAATGACGAAGCTCATCATGGGCCGTTATTGATGAGCAAAGTTAGTGGGCCCTCGGTTCGTTCTTTACTTGGCTTCCGCGACGAAGGGTCATGAAAAGAAAGCGTGGCGCAGGCACAGTATGGTTAAATTGCTGATCAGACCGAACCGAGCTGGGTCTCTGGTGTCTAGGCTCTCCGTTTGCTATCGTGTATATTACGCCGAAACTGCCGTGTCTTATTACTAAAGTCGTGTAATGGTCTTATAATATTTGGCTACTCTGTAGGATGTAAGTTAATAACTTTTTACAGCCTCGGCCCTATGTCTTTCAGTCCCACATCTGCTTTCTAGCTTTAGGCTCAGTAGTGGCGTCAAATGATAACATGGTAGTCGGGCTGCGGCTGTCACCATCCTAGTGTGTATGGAGTAAATTCACGCTTTTGTATTTAGACAGGCAATTATAATGATATTGATCAGCAGCAATAAAGAAGGTAGTTATAGATACGACATAAGCCTACATCTTTATATAACTAAACGCCATTAACACACTAAGAGCATAAATAACTAGTCTAGATTTTTATTGGCTTGATACTAATAGCACGACCTATCCTACTTTATGTTTGAACACGCTAAAACTAAGGATAGATAGACATCAAGTAGCCCCAAATATCGAGAGACCAATGACCTATAATGACTTAGTAGATCATCACAGTAACTAGTGGCTGATAGGATTCCTGATCTAACTACGTCGTCCGGATATTATATAATTGTGGATATTTTAGTCCCTAAGTAGGGTAGAGATTAACCTCCACTCCAAAAGATAGCTCAGTTCCGTGCAAACATGTTACATGGATTAAAAAGGCAGAATAAATTATAAGAGCAACGGCACAGGGCGCATTTTTTTGGGCTTCAGTAACAAGATAGCAATAAAAGCATATATTAGAGATATCAATCGAGCGTGTTTGGGTGCACCTTCCTGATTAGCCCTTTCAATTGTTTCTCTAGTCGAGACGCTTCAAATACGGAGATCTTGCGATGACTGTTCTTCAAACCCCACTCAGAACCATCCGACTCCCCCAAGACATGAGAAGGCCAATATGCTGGCCTATCAGGGGACTGAAGGTTACGTGCCTTGATCGATTCATGAATACTTTCGTTGGTGATGCCTTCTTCGTGACCGAGAGCCTTGTACCCGAGCGGTTTTCGCGCTGAACGACCTTTAGAAGATTTCAAAAGTGTCGAGATACTCCACTTAACCGGATTAGCATCACCAAAACTTGTGGCCCAAGGCGTCGAGCTCTCTGGGTTAACTCGTTGCGAAAACCCATCATGAAAATAATCAAGATCGATGGAGAGTTGGCCGTCTTTCGTGCATTGAGAGACCATCCATCCTAGTGCAATGTCGGCTAGCCTAGGATCTGGAGCTCCACCACCCACGTCCGTATGGTAACCTGAAAACCATACCTGACAAAGCTCTTGCCCGACATTCTGTTTTGGAACATACCATAGTACGGGCTCATATGTGTTCCTTGATTCATCGAGCGATAGGGCCTGGAATGCATGTTGAACATCCGGCGAGAGAATAGTGTTTGGCAGTTCAAATTTCTCCCCTGCGCACCAGCTCAGCCAGCTATCATGAAATCCAACAGTGTCCCAGACCCCGATAATCTTGACCGTAAACTGTTCCAAAGGCTTTGCTCGAAATCCAATGCGAAGACGCCAATTGGCATCTTGGTATTTCTCTCTATCAGCGGAAGTGGCTTCCATTTCCACCATGTAGTAGTCGTTGTAAACAGTGGCGAAATTGTCCATTCCGCGGGAGGTAAGTAAACCGAGGCTAGTGACGAGGCCAGCGACAGCCCGTGCTGTGTAAGCACCTCGAGAGAATCCGAAGAAGAATATCTCATCCCCGTCATCGAAGTTATCAGCAAGAAAGCCATATGCTGCCCTGACGTTAGAACTGAGGCCCAGGCCAATTGCCCCTTTTAGGATTCAGAAGAAGACAATGTCAGTATTTAGAGGAAGAGACAGAACAGAGGGTAGGAATGACATACCGCCACCTAATTTATCACCTATAAGACCGGTTCCAACACCCCTCTGATAATACACTATCTGCGATATACGCTTTTTCTGGCCGTTTTCCTCAGTGTACCCCGTACGACTGATTGCCCGACTTATGCGAGTCACATTTGTCGGTGGCTGAAATGTATCTCCTGTTGCGTTTGCCCAAGTACCTATAAATCTATCAGGACAGGCTGCTATTACCTGGGAAAGGCAAATGTTCAAACATACCGTCGCAGCAGACGACGAGTCGCTTGCGGTTGGACCAAGGAAATGTGTCTGTTTCTGGTAATACAGACGCCATAATATATAGCGTCCTAAACTATGTCTCTTTTCCACATTAACAGGTTTATTCCAGAGTGGGATGCTTAAAAACACAGAATTCAAGTGTCAAGAGTAGAGGGAGGGCCTTACTATTTCAATATACAGGTCGAGAATTAGATGCCTTTGCTTGGTACAGTTGTAGGCAAGGATATGGGCAATGTGATCTTTAAATAATTGACGTACCATACAAAAGTAGCTAGTCATGTGGATGATCTTTGTAGACACAAACAACCCCTGGTCATATCACGCCACTGACGTACAACTGGCAACATAGAACAATAACTAATGATCATTTTAATGGTTCACAGCTTTTTTTACAGTTTAAGCTTATTAGCTTATTCTGCATGATAAGCAGTTTCATTAATTGTTTGCAAAACCATTGGGGGATGTTCCACTGGTACAATGCTCAGAGTGATCTTCTTGGCATGAGACATTTTAGTCCCTTATACTTAAAAATAAAATAAAACTAAAACCATTGAAGCTAAATGATATCTACATGAGTCTGGTGTGAAAGATTCGGATAGCTAATTCAAATTCGAGTCGATTTACTTCGCAGATTAAATCTAGATCATAAGCAACCACGGAACCATGGAACCATGGAACCCGCGTATGGCAACCACTACTTGTTATGTCGCTCATCTTGTCCTTGATGAGCAGATTGCCGCGAACGGTAGGTAGTCAATCCCGCGTCCGTCAATCGGCTAAGTTGTGAATCTCCCACGCCACCCCCGGATCCATGGGAATGGTTCTGAGATCCGAAAACTCTCTGGGCCCGAAGCTTTTGGTGCCGTTAGATATAACCACGAAACGCCGCTCTGGGTTCTGATAATCAACTGGAAAACGAAGGCCTGGTGATTTATGCTAATATGTTCCATCTTGATGATCTCATGCTCGAAATGCTTGTCACCAGTAGATAGACGTGAGATCATTGTTTAGGTGTACCACATGCCAGAGTTAGGGTGTGCCATGCTTTGCAACTTTGGTTAATATTTAGAGCCAGATCTAGAGCCCGTTCTCACTCATGCACGAGGAGGTACTATTATGGAAGGCGCGAAAGGCCTCCCTAACCACTGTTCGCGATGGGAGATGCTCCGCAATCGACCGTTCCAGGCTTCGAGGTATGATGCGTTGGTAATGGTCATGAGATTCAAGCAGAGAATTCTCTCAATCCTTGCCTCTCATGCTGGACAGGGATATAAAATACCCGTTGAACTCCGGCGTGAAGATCACTCCTCGCTCTACTGGAAGCTGTATAGTACCAACTGACCACTCAGATCTACCTTTATCGTCCTATTGTGAGATACAAAATGGGAGTTCGTGACTACGGAATTTGGAAGGGAACCCCGGTCCTTTACGAGTTTGAAGATCGCTATGAGGACCCTGGTTCCCCTCATCTGTCGCTGTACTACCATGACAATGAAGGCGACCCGCCAGATTTCGACCTTGACTTTCGACGCAACAACAGGGGCCATCCACCAAATCCCAACCGCCCAAAGGAAATTCCGGGCCTCTTCCGTGCAGCAATCAATATCAAATCTACGGATGTTGAGACTCGACTTGCCTATTGGGTGAAAAATAACATGGAGGACCATCCTATCGTCCAGAAATTGACCGGGCTGGACTTTGACTTTAATCCAATCAATAGCGTGCCTGAGTTCAATGGCAAAGGCCTCGACTATATCCGAGGTAACCTCTTCGATTCAAGGAGCGGCCGTGTGCTTGTGCATGACATTCCAGGCACGAACAATGATATAATCGATGTCCTGGAGCCCGAAATCACTAAAGCAATTGAAAAAAAAGCGACCATCTATTTGTTCGGTTCTAGGTTTAATACGAAGGATGGAATTCACAATGTCCATATGAATCAGGGTAACATTGAGGACCATACCTCTGATGATGGAGTTTTTCAGGATGGGGGTCTTCTCATCCAGTACGAGGATCACTGGACTGGCATTTTTATTGCATTTGCCTCCCAGGCAATCCACACCGATGATGATACTGGCCATAAAATCCCTGGCAATACTCTGACGTGGGGGGACTTCCTACCCAAGGATATTGAGGAGAATTCTGTGACCATTGCGAAAGCGCTCGTCAACCCACGTGGACGGGATGATAGCTCTGCAAGAGACAAAGAGTCAGTGACGCTTGAAAACTTTACAAATCGCGGAGTATCTTTGTCATCATGGACGTTGCGTAACTCTGCTGGCGATGTCCAAGAGCTTCCTCAAAATGCAGTCTTGGCCGCCGGGGAATCCAAGACCTTTGACGTACCCAACTGTCCCCTTGACAATAATGGTGATACAATTACTTTACGCAACAAAGAGGGATTGAGGGTTGATGGGGTGAGTTATCGGCGCCGCCAGGGACAGAACGAAGGCCATTCTATTGTTTTTACCCACTGATTTGAGCCAACTTGTAACTACCTCAGGGTGTGTCTACAAACCAGAAAAACACATCTGCTGCCTGGGGTATTGATTTCTGTGTTAGCTCTTATTGTGCTAAAAGTTGTTTTATTCTAGGTTGTTTCTATTCACGTTACTGTTCGAACATAAAAGATGAAAATATTATAAGATGTTTTTGGACTGGATATAATACCTATTAATGGCTTCTTCTGCGAGCCGCTAGCCTCGCCGGCGGGTAAAGACGACCTTCTGCGCGGCCGGAGGTTGTATGGGAGCATACAAGTAGCCAGATATTAACCGTAGTTCAACAAGAGAGGATCTCTACGCTGTCACTTTTTGTTTTTTTGGTAAGTGTTCCTCGAAGACTCTAGTAGAATCTCTTGTAACCTCTTCCATAGTCTCCTTGGGCTCCTTATGCATCTAGGAAGTTGATAGTTTCTTCGATATTAGCTGGCATAAAGTATGAGTAATCAACCTTTCTTGTCAGACAATCAGCTTCTGAAGAGACCTTGCACCGAGGATATGCAGCTCAGCTATCTTCGCCTGGATCTCATGGTCTGTTGTCTTTCCCGGTTGACCAAGTTCTGGCAAAACATCCAATGTGCGCATAATGTACTGGCTTGAGACAGCATTATAGACATATCATGCCTTTGAAGCAAAAATAAATATTGCCTTCATGTCGAATGCATTTTTCAAAATTTCCTGGTAGAATGTCAATCCAACAAGAACGTATAGAAACAACATCGGAGGGTGACACCTTCCGAGAAAGTGAGAATTAATGCGGTCCTATATCAGTACGACGTGGCTTTGCGCAAGCCCTTTACGAACTCAAGAGTATATGGCGAGTCTAAAACCTTGCTTTGGTAAATTTTCAAGCCACGGATACGACTCACCGCTCACCTTGCTCGAGATGTTTGGCTACCGTCGCATTTCAGGGTAAGCATATCCTCAAAAAAGGGACGTCGCACGAAAGAGCCAGGTTCCTTGTAATCAGCCAACCTAGAGTTGTTGCAGCAGTACCAACGCCCTCTATAATTTGATGCCAGCGATGTTACTCCGGCCTCTCAAATCCAGAGAATGTGGTTCGGTGAAAATGCTTGCTTGGGGATCCTATCTTTTACAGCGTGGGTTCCATTAAGCCAGGAGAATTTTAACATGATACTATTTACAAGAAGTATGGGACCTGCTAGTCGCCGTGAACTTGGGAAAGTTCAGGAAGAGCCCACTTCTGTATCCATTCGCAGTTCAAAACTTCCTGCGCAGTTGGTCTCTCCTCAGGGTCAAAAGCAAGCATCGCCTTCAACATACTGAGCAAAGCAACCTTCTCAATCTCATCCAACTCATCCATCCTAAACTCCTGCCTTGGCTGCCGCACCGAATCGTTAAATCGTTGCTCCAACGGCCGGGAATGTGCCTCGATTTTCCTTTCCCAATCCTCGTTGAACCATCTTGCACGAGCATTCCATTTCAGCCACCACGGCGCGTGTAGCTTACCAAGGCAGTCGACTTGTTCTTTTATTACCCAGTCAGCTGACGGACTGTATCCCTCGAAAAGTGGGCGTTGAGCTATAATGGCCCAAATCGTACACGCAGGCGTCCAGATATCAGCAGGAAAAGAAAGCGACTTTCTCTGTTCGAAGTAGACCTCTGGTGGAGTCAAAACTTCTGGTGCGTTGGAGTAAGGCCGCGCTATAGTAGCTGGCATGAAAGACTCGCCGAAGTCAGTGAGGATAATCTAAGCTTCTGATAAGTCAACCAGCTCATTTTCCTTCCCTAGCTAGATAGGCACAATAACATTTTCAGAGACCCCCACGGGAAGTCGACACTGATCTAGACGTACAACCGCCTCATATTGGGGAGATCCATACTTTTCGTAAAGCTGTTCCGGCGAGAGATAATCCATACTTCCAGGTAAACGAACCAAGACTTTGCCATCGTGCAAGTCTGCAATGATCCGTCTCATTAGACATCCGGCACAGAAAAGGAGAAGAGAGAGATTGGATCACCGCGACAGGATCACTTACCACCGTGAACAATACCCTGAGAATGTAGGAATTTTACTGCCTGGACAAGTTGGGCAGCCATAGCCCTAGCAACAGGCAACTGAAAAAAGCGAATAGAGGAGGCATCTTTAGCTTCTGCTAGACTCATCATTCCGGGTTCAGTGACATAACAATGGTGTACACCATTAGGCCCAGAAAGAGAAAAGCCATCTAATATTGACGGGATGTATGCTGCTCCAGGATGGGTCTTTTCTTCCAACCCCGTGTTATATAACCGGCGTAGGATATCGGTTTCTCGCGTCTCAGTAGAATCACGTGCTGCAACCGGTATCTTTATAGCGACATATTTACCGGCTTTCTGGTTTCTTGCCAACCGAATCGTCGAGGATGAACCGAAACCAAGCTTATGGACGATAGAATATCTACCACCCAGCTGCTCTCCGACAGTTACCGGATGGTATCCTCCTAGGCGATACCGTTCGAGCTTCTCAACATCTTCAATCGGCATGTATTCGATTTAGTGCTGTGTATCATAGTTTTCTTCGGCAAGTTTTGATCCTATACTGCCGGCGAGAGATATATATGGGTTCGAACCTGGTGTGGTGCAGTTAGGGTGGAAGACTAGCTTCATAAGACGCGACGAATTGACCAAGACGAGCCTATCGCGACACGTGCTGAGCCTGCAAGTTCTTGGCACAAGGGAGCACCTGACTACTAAGCTACTTAACTTCAAGCATTTAACCCCCGTTAATCGTTATTACCGCCGCCCCGTGGTAGCAGCGCTAATATATATAAGATACTTAATCATCTTTAGCTAGGGGCTAAGACTAGCACTTAAAAAAAAGTGGATTAAGCTAACGCTCAGCAACTGAGGCTGGGGGTCCCCCCGGTAGTATAGAATTACTATAGAGTATATAACTATGGTATCAATTAAATACACTTAGAGTATATATGGTCAACAAGTTAATTGAATTTTGACTAAAGACTTTCTTTACTCCTAACTCTAGAAAGTGAGAGTGGACTAAATTACTGGCAATTTAATCCAATAAAAGAGTTGTGTCCAGGTGGCACACTTAGTCGCCCCTACTTGTGGCCCGATCGCAGTTGTCGGGTCATTATTTGTCTCTGGCCGTTGTTCGTTGCTGTTTGTTCATCTCGATGGACGGGGGCGCTCCGCCTCGTAACGTAAGCACGAGGCTAGGCGATCTTTATTTCGTGCCACCTATAGCTATACAATACAGTGAGATATTATTATGTCCTGAGCCATCACATGCAGAGCATTCACTGAGCGCCTTGACATCATTTGAAGGGTATGCAATAGAACTTCCGATAGCTTGAGCAGAAAGTATGAGTCTACGAGTAGAATCCAGCAGCGGGATCATTAAGCATCAATCGGAGTGGTCAATTTCAATTTTGGAGCATTCCTTCTCATTGCCTCTCCGGGGTATATTTATATCGACAAACTGATGAACGTTTCTCAACCCTCGGATCTCTCTGCCGAGTCCTTCTTTTGACGGCCCATTCCACATAGCAAAAGCAGGAACGGGATCGTTCCCAGCAAGATGAATGCCACTAGCGTGAATGTCCATCCCCGACCCATTGCAGTCAGCATAGGATCGATAGCAGCCGAGGCCGCAGCCGAGAAGAAGGACCGCACCATGTTGTTAGCAGCGGTAGCCGCGGCTGGGTTAGCGGTGTGTAGGTCGACCAGCAGGGTAGAGGTGGAGATAAAACCACCAGTCTGCCCTACGCCGACGAAGAAGAGAAGCACCTCCGGAGCCGCAAGAGGCGCGCCGTATTTGAGTACCCAGCCAAACGCCAGCACGGTGATACTGCCGAGGACAACGAGGGGAATAGTAATCATACTACGGGCCTTCTCGATGGGGATTGAATCCTCGGTTGTGTCTTGTTCGGGGGTTGTGGTATCGGCGGCTTTGTTGGCAGCCATGCGTTTGTAGTTCCAGTCCAGCAGGCGTCCTGTCACAACTGAGGCCACGATAGACCCGGTGCCCAGTGAGATATAGCATAGACCAATTTCAAGCTCATCTAGGCCGTACTGTGCTGTGTATATCTCCGTGATTGACGAGAGAACTGTCATATTTCCACCCATGATAATTCCCGTTACCAAAAGAATGATAATTGAGTTTGGATGGAACACCAGTATCAAAGGTTTCAGCGGGTTAGGGAATTGGAGTTTGTGCTCGATGATTTTCTTTGACGAGTCGCTGCTGTCGGGTCGATCAAGACCATCCTTGTCGGAAGAATATTGCTTGTCCCCATTTTGGCGGGAGAACAAGTGAATCAAGGGCCGATTCCACGGCTGTGCGGGAGATGAGCCGTCACCAACGACGTTTCGGGCTGTTTCGGGGAGAAAGAGGAGGAGAGGCAATAAAAATACGCCGGAAGCGATGGTGAGGAACCAGAAGATCGATCGCCAGCCCAGATATTGGGCTAAAAGACCCCCGATGATCGGACCAATGGCGGGCCCCATAAAATTTCCAGCCATCACAAAGCCCATCATTGATCCTCGTTCCTGTTTCGTGCTGATATCCGCCACCGTAGCCGCAGAGAGTGCCACGCTGCTGCTGATCCCGGAACTCTGCAAGCATCGTAATATAATGAGGGCAGCATAGCTGTCCTGCAAAGCCAATCCAATGTTTGACGCGATGTAGATAATAAAACAAATGATATAGGCTGGTCGGCGACCTGTTCTGTCTGCAAAGTCGCCAATAAACATGGGCGCTATTCCTTGGAAGATCTGGTATATGCCATCCGTTAACTGATGGTTTATATCTTCGTCAACTGGTGTATCCTTACCATGTAACTTGTCACAGTCAGGTTGATCATGGATGCCGAGACATTGAGATCGCTGGCCAGCGTGTTCAGGGCTGGGAAATAGATCTGGGCCGACAAGGAAGAGAATAGCCCAGCCCCAGCAGCTGTAGCAACAATGTATCTTTTTTTGGCGGTGCTAAAGGAGCTGTACGGTGGAGGCACAGCCTCTGCAAGCGTGATTTCGGAGTTCATTATTGCTCACGTTGTTGGGACATGCACAGAAATGTCGAGACAGACTGAATGGATTGTATTGTTTGGCAATGAGGTTCCCATCGTCCCCTTTTCCACTGTTCGCAATGGACAACTCATCAATCCAGGCAACATCAAAAAGGCCACATACGGTGACGTCAAATTAGGAGAAGGGTTCCACTGTGAAGGTCGAAAATATGATGTGATTGAAAGTCTTGAAATGATCGACTCAAAAAGTATCGACACGCCTATCATTACCCGATAGTCTTTTCGAGGACAAGTAACTTCAATATTGCGCGGTTTTCGGGAGGCAACGGAGGATCCTCTTGGGAGTTGATATTCGGGGCTGGACCTGGTAGATCTACAGGGTCAACCTTGTGGGCACATGGCTCTGACTGGTTTATCTTATTGGTTGAAATATCTCCACTTGGTCCACTTTTGATCTACTCCCAGACCCATATTCGGAAGCTTGTTGACCCGAAATGGAATAGCTTCAGGACGAAATAGGATAAACTTCAAAAGAGGACAGGACTCTGAATAGCTTCATACCCTCATTTGGTTAAGAATACAGCCAATCAGATTAGAAATAACAAAAGTCTCTGTTATAATGAACAACAAACCCAAGTCTTATAACCCCCAGGCCCCGTTGGCTCAACGGTATTGGCCGGGCGCTTTCAACAAGTACCCCGCTGGTTGGAAGGGCACACCGTGCGTGTCATCCCCTTTGTTCGAGCTAGGGCGTTGTCATAGGTTCGGAATTTATGGCAGCGCTAACAACATCTATGGGCTTCCCTTACCAGCAGGTCAAGACAGGCGGCCTTCTCCGCAGTCTTAACACAAACGGGGGTGGGATGGAGGCGGGCACCTTTTTTTTTACCTTTAAAAAAATCCATTTGGCCCATTTCATGCTCGGAAGAAGATCCAATTGAATCCCTTGGCACTACAACCCAATACAAATGTGAAACTGAGGATAAACCTAAACGTATCCCTGATCGTCAATCGTGATGTGTTCACTTTTCTAGACTCAATTTTGTCCTGATCTGCAGATTCCAGTGTGTAATGAATTCACAGTATATAGCCAATTAAACCCCCGAGTGGAAGGCTTGTGCCAACTCAAAGTCCTCATACCCGTGAAGGTCCACATTAGTCTATTCTAGCAAATTATATTGTAGATAGCAGCATAGTGCAGCAGATTATACGATCACACCATCCTGTGGATTTCCCACATGGTCCTCGTCAAGAGCATGGACCAGTACATCGATATGACGCTGAAGACAGTCCATTTGAATGATCGCCGGGTACGTGATGGGCAATATACAACCTATACTGTATGGCGTGAGTCGGAAAGCAACTACACAGGCTAATCTTGCCTTCTTGGGCGATCCAAACGTATCATACAACGTACGCTTTGTGCAGATCCATTGACCCCTTGGGCCAGCAATATTTAAATGGGCTTACTACCTCGAATCAGTTCATCAATCAGATAAACTGAAGATCTCTGGATACACTCTTAAAAGCCTTCCTTCACTCTGAACCCGATACCAACAAAACCCTGAGCAAGAAGTTCAGACCAACATCATGACTGCTGAAAACATCGACTCCGTGCCAACAGTCGCAATCATCGGCGCAGGACCCTGTGGGTGTGCTTTTGCGGCCGACTTGGCTAGCCGTGGAAAATCAGTCATGCTATACGCTCATCCCGATCATCGCGGCGGGACAGATATGATCGAAACGAACAATGGCTGGTTGAATGCAGCTGGAGAGATCAGTGGAAAATTCCAAATCAAGACCACCAGCGACCTCTACATTGCCATTCGACACTCTCCTTTCATCGTAACCACAGTACCCTCATACGGCCAAGACACTATCTTAACATTGTTGAGTCAATTCGACTTGCGAAACCATACCCTCATCATCAACGTGGGCAACTTCTTCTACCTCTCCGCCCGCTCGAAGATCAACGCCCACGCAATCCTCGAAACCGACATCTCCCCTTACGCCACTCGCATCCAAGGCGACACAGTATTCGTCAAGGGTTGCAAGAAAACTCTTTCAATATGGGCCGAACCACCAAACACCACACAGGTCGAGCGACTGGACCCCGAAGCCGAGCTTGGCCTCCGACAAAAAGTCGAGATGATCTTTTCTCAGAAGCTAGTGTGGTGTCAGAATCTGCTCGAGGTTGGATTGAACAATGTCAATCCAGTCGTGCATTGCCCTGCGGCACTCATGAATGCAGGCTGGATCGAGGCTACAAAGGGTGATTTCTACTTCTACGCCCAGGGAATGTCGCCCTCTGTCTCCCGTGTGACCGAAAAAGTGGACAAAGAGCGTTTGGCAATTTCCCACGCCTATGGACTCGAGATCACACCGATCACGACGTACATGAATCAGAACTATAACAATGATCGGGAATACTCCGACTACCATGATTTTGCCTCGGGTTCTGTGGTGCACAACAAGACCAAGAGCTCCCCGACTTCCCTGAATCATCGCTATTTGTTGGAGGATGTCCTCTATGGCTTGGTCCCCTGGTATGAGCTTGGTTTAAAGTGTGGTTTGGCCTCGCCGACTATCAGAGCACTTATTGAGATGGCTGCGGTTGTTAGCGGCTTTGATTACTTTGAGCACGGAAGGACCCTGAAGTCGGCTGGACTTGGTGATGCGACTAAAGAGCAGGTACTTCATGCCTTGGGTGGACCAGTGGACAGGACTTTGAGTGACCACGCACCCTGGTCAGACTCTCCCATTGGCAACACGCTGGAGTTGCATGCTCCACTACAGACGGCTCGAGTCGGGGCGTGATATTCTTTCTCGGATTGTTGTGAAATACTCTCTTCGCGTTTCAAGTGTTGATACTCTGTAGATTTTCCTTGCTGCTTAACCTTTTTTTGTATCTGCTTGTGTTCATTTTGCAATGATGATGGTGTGACCGAAAAACAGAATATATCTATAGAAGTAAAATGTCGAAATATATTGAACAGAAGAACAAAAACGGAAAAGCCTCATTTCCTCGTTCAAAATTTCTACAGCCCATGAACAACAATCGATTGCTTTCAAAATGGTCCTACCACAGTGCACAATAAGTCCGCTCCAGACTGTGGCTTGTTTGTTCAGGGGCTGACAGGCTCAGCCCATCCGTGAGCAGTGGCACCAGACGCGGGATAACTTCTGCAGAGAGCATGGATCAGAACTCGAATCCTCGCTCGCCGTCAGGAATATTTGTATATGGCAGTCTGCTAGCTTGCAACCCCATAATTGAATAGTTGTGCGAGCCTCGTATGCCAAGACCTTCGGTTGGCTCGGCAGCGGGTCGGGCCGGGAAAGAACGTGTACCGCACTTGCCAAAATGGTGTGCAGCAGATCGGTGCTTTCCAGATAAGGTCCCAAGTTCACAAACAGCGCTTGTTGTTATCTTGTTTCACGAGATGCTGCAAGAATCTTGACAAGGCCCGTTTTCATTGGCAACATGATCAGTGGCAACAAGTCAGCAGTAGGCTAGCGCGGTCCACTGTTATATGCCCCCCTTCACACTCGAGATCCTTCGCAGACGCAGCCCAATTGTACCAATTCACCTCCTCATCCATGCCCATGTTGCTATCGGCTTGGTCTTCAGTGCCGGTGAAATCAGTTGACATGCCTTCCTCAGACCACAGCCAAGGTACAACGGCTGGGATGATAAGTTGACCGTCAAACTGAGCTTCCGGTGCCATTGGAAAGTGTGATGAGGCGGCAGGATTCTCGGGATCAAATCCGATTCCTGGATTAGGCGCCATGACTGAATCAAAGTTTATAGATCCAATGCTTGACACATCGTATCCGGACTGCCGTTCCTCTGCAGCAATATACCCTGGCTCAACAGTGAAATCCGAGTAGAATGGTTTGTGAGATGAATTGGGAGCAAGATGCGCACTTGACTGCGTTGTATTTGCAATTTGCATCGGTGGATTCGACGGATCAGTGACAGCAAGTGCGTCATGTCTGGTTTTCTCTGGGTGTGCTAGCACTAGCAGCTGACGCCATTGGTGAAGGAAGAGATCTGCAGAATTTGAATCAGATGGAAATGGCCCAGTGCTAGACGGGACTGGGGTAATGCGATAGCCCTGCTCCAGCTGTTGGGCAGCTTGAGGGTCGTTTCTCAGCCGGCTAAACTCCATATCACGATAATCTCTGGCCTTGGTCATAAGCTTTCGGAGTGGAATCCATACTCGTAGATTCCTTTCCATGTGTGATTGATTCGGTATTAACCAGGGACTATGAAGGGCTACCCAGGCCCGTTCAGAAAGAGGCGACCACGGCCGTCGAGAGATCTCTAGCATCATATAGACAATTGAGTACCAATGGGTATAGGTTTGGAAAACCCAGCGCCAGTGCCTGCATGCTTGCTCATTGCTCAGGGCGTGATTGTACTCGGCGACCTCGATACTGGCAACCAATAGTTTTGTCCTCAGCTCCTCCGAGAAGTCTTCATTCGGGGAGGAGAACAACAGAGGCAGGTACATAAGCAAAGTCATCTTGGCCATAACAAGCCGAACGACCCTAACTATCACCCAGTGCGTAATGTTCCCTGATTCAGTTGAGTATTGAAGAAAGTCTCGTTGGAAACCTTGGTATAGCTGCTGCAACAAGCGACTTTGCTCTTCTAGAGTCGGTGCTCCGTCTTTGAAATCATGAACCAACATCTTCCGCGTAATCTCACACATGCAAATGGAGACGCGCGCAACGGACATATCAGTCAGGCCATCCCGAGGTTGAGGCGTTTGCTTTGATTCAGGGTCGAGGTCCGCATCATTGAGATTAAGAGGTAGTTTAGTATCGAAGGACGCTCTTGTGATTGTGTAATCGGTTCCTTGGTCCTCGGATGCTCTCGCGTCCAACATGCACAGAGCCCACCAGACTCTTCGCCGCATCTCAATCTCATATGGGCTGAGATAATCGAAATGTGTTCCATCACGATGCAGCCCCAGGGCTTGACCCATACGGATTACCAGTCCTGTCATCATCCACACAAACCTCGGACTGTCATGTCGGCGAACAAGACTAAGAAAAATAGCAAATGCCTGCACGAGAACGAAGTCTGGCACATTCAGAAAATCAGCTCTTGCAAGAGCATGTTCGAGGCCTTGGCGATATTTGAGATTGAGCTCGGCTTTGCTTGCTCCGAAATTCAGTATTATCTAAATATACCGACACGTCAGCTTGGGACCATGCTTAGATCCGTCAGAAAGTTGAACAACCAAGGATTTGACTTACATCTTCTTCTTCCATCGATGTGATGGCAGCGTAGTAAATAGAGAACATCAAAGCTTCATTGGCCGGTGTTAGTCCCTTCATTTCACGACCGCGCCAATCGCGAACCATGTTCTTGACAGTGGGAAGATGAACGATTTGAAAGATGACGTTCACATTTTCGGAGAACACGTCTAGAATAAATGGGATCTGAGAGGGCAGCGGATGAAGTTCGGTTAGGTTCGGGGAAAGACGACCCAAGTTGTGTCCAAACAAGAATCCGTGTCGCTCTGCGGGGGTCCGTTCAAGTTCTTGTGTGGAAGGGGTCATCTCTGGCGATGCCTCGTCATCCGAGGTATCAGATTCTCCAAATGGAAGACCACTAACATCTTCCCTGAGGCCATCAAGCTACAATAGAAGTTAGCTAGCCATTTATTCCGTGCAGTAATATAAACAAACCAAGGCGGCATACCTCGTCATTGACCCGCGACCAGAAACCACTGCTAACGTAGCGGCTTCGGTTTGAATCCTGAAGCACCAGTCTCCCAAACTTATTTTGCAAATTGGCAGTACTAATAGACGATGGATTCGACTGTCGATCATGCGCGGAGCTTTCAGGCGAACCGACCCCGGATGACCCTTCAGCGGCAGAGTTAGCTACCGATTTGGCCTGTTCCAGTTGCAGGCGTAGCTCCTGAACAAGGCCTTCAAGGTTGTGAAGCTTCTCCATCAGGTCTTCCGCTACTGGTTGGGGTTCCTGGGAGGCCTGTAGTTTGGATACCGCATTGTTGAGGCGGTCGAGATGGCGAGCCCATCTTGGCGGTCGGTCTGTAGGTGGAAGCACACATGCGATATTTGCGCGTCGGCAATTCGAGCAAGGCGCTCGCTTGTCGCAGCGGACTTTGCGGCTTCGGCATACTACACAGCTGCGGAGCTTTAGTGGTGTTGTGTTTCTGCCTGAGGCGTCGATTCTCGCGTTTTTCTCGGCGTCCGAGCTCGACATGAGCCCACCATGCGCCCCTGAGGCTGCCACAGGACGCTCTTGTGTCATCTTGGGACCGTTATAGGCTTGTTTCAGCGAGTGATCAATCATAAATAGATCAGACGAAACCTTGATTATCCCAGACAGACAGGCCTGGAAGAGTTTGCCGTCTGACTCAGGGATAGGCATAAGCGTAGAACGAGCAACAACCAACGAGAGAACGGCATTTCCGCCTCAATTAGTTAGGCCCGTGTTCTTCCCCTCACATTCTGGTTTCGCGAAAAAAGAGCGAGAACTTTTATATTGGCTCGGATAGCTTTCGCTTTTCTAAATCACGCGCTGTTAGCCAAAATGTATATTATGAAGCCCATCATCCCATCCAAGACACTTGAAAGAAGCCATCCACATCCCCTCTACTATCAACATCAGCTTAAGCCTTCCAATACCTTGCTACCTGACAGCCACAGCCACAGTCCATCTATACCATGACGTCAAACACTAAGACTGTCGCATTCTTTGGCGCCAGCACCGGCGTTGGCCTTTCTGCCCTCAAACACACTCTCGCTGCCGGACACAAATGCATCGCGCTTTGCCGTGATCCCTCAAAACTCACAGCCATCTTCCCTTCAGGGTCCCAACCAAATCTGAAAATCGTCGAAGGAAATGCACACGACATCTTGCCCGTATTACAGTGCCTCCAAACCGACGATGGTCGCATCGTCGATACCATCGTGTCCACAATCGGCGCCAAGCCAACCGGGTTCAGCGTCGATGATCCGGACGTCTGCAAGAAAGGCGCAGCAACTATGCTAGATGCCCTCGACCAGCTTCGCAGCACCGGCATCACCGGAAAACCACACATAATCGCCACCAGCACGGCGGGCTTCTCCCGTTTCGTCCGCGATGTTCCTCTCGTTATGAGGCCCGTCTATTACCTGTTTGTCAGCGTCCCCGGAGCGGATAAGGTAGTCATGGAAGACCGTTTCTCGCAGAGCGAGGAATCATTCACAATCTTCCGTGCTAGCCACCTTGTTGATGGCGAGTCGAACAACAAGATCCCTATCCGTGTGGGCATCGAGGATCCCAAGACTGGTCCGGAGTGCATGGCTATTGGCTATACTATCTCCAGGGAGGATGCGGGCAAGTGGCTTGCTGAGAACCTTGTCTTGAAGCTGGACCCAAAGTATGTGAACAAGAATGTGACTGTTACATACTAATGGGGATGGCGTCGTTAATGAACTAGCTGGGGAGTTTTGGCTTGCTGGGATTGTATATATTGTGAATGACACATTGTGATAAATAGAATGCATCGCAGAGACTATCATCTTTTTATTGAAAATCGTACTGTCCATATGTAGTCTGGAAACACCTAGGCACCGATAAATCAAGGTGGCGACCAGCAAGAGCACATTGTCCAAAAATTATAATAGTTTTATCACTCCTAGCCATTCTGTTTCGCTACATGCATTACGGAGATAAGTCTATATCTGCAAAATCTGGCTTAAAGTCTAGCGGAAGAAAATTTGACGACACCCTGTGTCTTAGTTGATGGCATCAAGAGTGCCTATGCTTTTTGGTACCAGTAATCTTTTCTGGGGTCATCCCGATAATGATGAGCCCATTGCTGCATTACCACCTGCTTGGCACCCATACCTTCCAAACGGGCTGCATCCTACATGACCCATCCCCATCGACGAAGGGCATGTGGGATGTATTCCCCAAAGATTTTGCTGTAAATTCAACCCCATACAATTGTCCAGGCTAGTGGTGGGAGTATAGAACTTCCATTGGGTTGCTTGTTGCCGTGGAAGGTGAGTGGCTCACGGTGACCCTGTCGATCGTCCCGTTCCCCAGGCTGAAGGGAATGTCGAGGCCATTGTAAGCGTTTGTCAAAAGCGCTGCGAGCATCCTCGTGCTTGATCTAGAAATGGACAAAGTGAAGTGCAGCAGCTCGAGGCCGGGGGATGGTGATGTTCCGCAACCTATCACTATTATATGTTAGCTCAATTCCAAAACTAGTATTTCTCAAATTGGGAACGTCAAAAACAAAGGAACTCCTACTCACTGTGAGGTTAACATTAAATGCTACCCCATGCCATGGATCAAATCTAGTGTACTCTTCGTCCACATCCCCTCTAATTGTGTGCAAGATCTGTTCGTACTTTTCACTGACGAAGTAACTAGCGCAAGATATCTCTTCTGCCTCCTTAGGATCAAATATGCACAACAAGTCCTTCGTAATGCGAGCAGAGATGGAGATCCAGCTTCTAGCGGTGATATATTTCCCCTATTCGATCCCATAGACATTGCAACATAGTTGAATTCGATGAATGGCGCGCATACGTCGTGACTCTTCTGTCCCGCTCAATGTCTCTTCGATCTGGGATCAATTCATCTTCTTGGGGAGATCATCCAATGTTGTATCACATAGTGTAGCATCCGGGGTCGAACAATCGAGCAATTGAAATTGGCCATGGACACGGCGTCTTCCATGCTGAGTAGTTTCTGGAGAGGTGAAGATCAAGCTTGGAACCTTATCATATGGCAGGAAACATGAAGGTCATTGATGCTTTTTGTAGTGCGTTCCAAACTTGCCTGGGCTGCATAGGCATCAGCTTCATGCTACCCAATGTTGACTCCTGGGTTTGACAGCGCAGGAACTTGTGATCTATTTGGTATTGGTGAAAGTAAATGGGAGAGCCTTGCACCAGAGTCTTGAGGCTGTCAATTTCCATCATCGAATAAATATGGCGTCGGATCTCAACTGGGAGGGTTTCCAACGGGGAAGCGACCTGAGGGGCTTTCAGCCAAACTCAGTTTCGGCCACTTGAGGCAGAGTAGCCTTTTCATTTTGAGGGACCATTCTAGACTGATGAATGGTACCTGATGCGGGCATGGTTGCTGAATTGAAATAGATGTGAGGAGTTGAAGAAGTAGGGGAGGGCTGAAGATGACGGTGTCAGTTGTAGGCATAGATAGCAGAAAGCATAAGAATGATATAGGCTTTAACAAGCATTGTTCAATAAAAGAAGAGTAATTGAGAGCAGTAAGTGAGAGGTACAACTTGGATATGTAGCTTGAATAGTGATGGCAGAGGTAAGGAGAATAAAAAGATGTTGTGCCAGGAAGAGTCTAGATATTTTGAAGTTAAGATTGAAGTAGTGACTAAAGATTGAGATGAAGTGAGAGGCTGCTCTCACTTGCCTCTCACTAGCTTCTCGCTTACCCCGTACATTAGACATATAATTTGTCCGTCGATTCACATGTCGAAAGTGACACACCTGGGCATATATCTCACTTTGGGTCCCGGCCACCTCAGCTATAGCGGACGGTTTTTTGGACTGGAATGCGCTCGACAAACCATGCAACAAGTGAACATGTGCTATCAAGATTTTCCATACCCGCCCCAATGCATGACCCAATTCCCTAAGGGGAAGTGGGCTGCACGGGTGTAATACAAAAGCTAGTCTAATGCAAATGTCTTGATATAGGTACCTTCTATATAGGGTTGCCATACAAGGGATACTTTTAATCCGAATCTTTTTAAAGTCATATTACTCAACAATATATTATATAGATAGAAAATAAACGAAGATTTAGAGTATGTGGTATCGGAATCCTATTATTTAGGGGATATCTTAAGAAGAGAATATGTGGTCTATAGTATAGCTAAGGAGGGTCCTTAAAAGTGTAGTTTTAGTAGTAGACCCGTGTAGGCTAACTCCCGTTGGGGAGTTGGGCCGTGTGTTAAGCCGAATATAAGATCAGTATGAGACCCAAGCCTGTATTTAGGGTCAATTGCTGAGAACCCAGTTGCCAATGGAAGACTTCCATATCTGTAGTATAACGAATTTTGAGAGGCAAGGTTCACCTTTCTCAATCTAATTAGGACAGACAAGCGTGTTTAAGATATTTTAATATATTATTTATATTCTAGAGTCAACCAGTGCGCTCTTAGCATAATCTATATGCGGTGTATGTACAGTGCATGTGATGTTAATAAAATGAAGCAAGATAAAGCAAAATAAAGCAAGATGGAGTCATCTAAGTATCGGTGTTGGCGCAGCTGAAGCTGTTGCTGTTGGAATTCTTGCTGATAGCTGTGCCAGAGGCATACAGCCCAAGAACGCACAGCACTAGGCCGAAGCAGGCAATGGCGATGTTGAGGATGCTAAGGAAAATCTTGCGGGGAGTGGTGAACCACTCGCCACGGTTGAGGTGGAGCCAGTAGATACCGGAGAGACCGTAGCTGAACCAGGAAGCGAAAAGAGCACTGATCAAACTGTTTAGGTCACTGAAGACAGGAATAGCCTCGGAGATGATCCAGGCAACGACCCAGCAAGCCACACCAAGACCAATCCAGAGACTGATGGAACGCTTGTTGCGCTGGTGCATCAGATCAGACTTGGAGCAGAGACGGAAGTAGATGTACTTCAAGCCAATGTGGCCATTGACGACACCGGCGCCGACAATAGTGGGGATGGCAATGCCGTAGGCAATCTTGCTCATCAGGGGCCCGGCGGAGGTGAGGGCAGGGGAGTGCACATCGGTGCCAATGTAAAAGTAAATCACAACGGCGGCGGTCAGGTAGAGGGAGATCTCAAAGCCCTGGAGCATGAACAGGGACTTCTTGAAATCCTGGGGCGACTCCATCTCGGCAATCAAGCCGAAGAAAGCGACGTGGGCGCAGTAGGCGAAGACGATGTTGGAAACAGCCTGGAATGCAGTGTACAAGTTGGTGTCGACGGTGGCGTGGATGACACGCTCGGGGTGACTCTGGACTCCCACGGAAACCATGGTAATCACGACAGCGCATAGAATGCTGAGGAATGATGCAAATGAGATCCAAGTCATGCCCTTCATCGTACGGGGGATGGACAGGGCGATCGAGATAACCATACCGACGACACTGAACACAATGGAACAGGTGCCGTGGTTGGTGAGGGTGTTCATCATGACACGGAAAGTCAAGATGTGGCTGCCCATGACGAAGATACAGAAAAGGAACTGGCCAGTACCGAAGAGCTCACGGCCAAACTTGCCCAGCAAGATCTCGCCAGCATCGCCCAGGTTTTGAATGTGAGGGTACCGTTCGCGGAAGAGGCCAATGTTGTAGCCAGTGTATGTTGCGAGAATGCCGAGGCCGATAATCAGGATGACACCAGGGACGAGGCCAAGAGTAGCGACGGCTGAGGGTAGTGACAGTACACCCAGTGAGACTGACTCACAAATCATGAGCAAGCCACATTGCCTGAGACACGCGTTAGCATGGTCGATGAGAGACTCTGTTGAATGATACATACCACCACTTCAAGGTTTTATACTTGATCTCAGCGTATTCCTCGTTGCCGAAAGCATCGTGAACCTCACCAGCCTTGAGCGGGCCCTCCTCTTCGAATTGTGGCACATCCTTGCGCTCGACGATCTTATCCTGCTCATAGGCAGGTGGTGCTGTATTGACGTCCATTCTGTGTAGTTGAAAAAGCAGAGGAGTCGGGTGTTGAAGAAGATGGGTACAAAAAGAGAAGTTCCCACGAGGAAGGAACAAAACTAGGCGATCTGGCCGTCTTATTGTTTCCCCGTTTTCCTCGCGTGCCTTTTAATTTTGCCCCATGGGAATAAAATGGAAAGTTCCACAGAAATTCGATGCAACCTAACGGACTCACCAATGACCGTTCTAGTTCGACCCGAATCCGGAGACCTTGACCAGTGTCTGACCAATACCTGCGCCGGGTTAACCTTGCTGACTCATTCCAATTTGTAAGAAACTGGTCGCAAAAGCTAATTCAGTTCCCGCCCCAGTCCCACATACAAGTCCAAGTTGCCTGATCATTTTAGTGGCGATCGCCCATTCCCGTTTTTAAGGTTTCTATTATTTTACTTGGACTTTGCAAAACGTGTATGTTTGGTACTCATTGGATGTATTGTCCAGTCTATATTGTGGCTTTTACTTTTATATGGAATAGCCTTTTTTTGCCGAGATCAGATCCTTCACCGGGATCCCGGTTCATCGGCTACTCACATAATTTTACATTCTCACCGAGCCGCGAGTGGCAAAAATGCCCCACCCGGACTCCGGAGTGCAGGGCCAACTCCGGTGTGTTCCACCTGTGGGTTCTCAGTTATTACCCCGGGTCTAATATCTTCTATTGCTGTTGATGCTACTCCGTATACCTCTACGCCTCTTCCAATTCGCCTGCTTATCCCCAGACTATAG